TGAGTGGATGTAAACTGCAACTTGACAGATTGGCAGAGGGATGCAACCAGAAGATTAATCCTAGCTTCTTTTAATTTAAGGCCATTCAGGCTCTGAATACCTCACTTCCTTTCTGGTGGATTGCTGTGAGCATATATCAGAAAAATAGTGCTTTGATTTATGTTATCTGAGATGACGTAATGTACAATAAAATGTTCCATCTTTTAAACTTGTTTTCATCAAATTTCATCAGGTTCTGATCAATAACAGGAAGTCATCCATTTACAGACCTGTGATATATTTTATGAATACAGGTCCTGAAAATTTCTTCCACTTTCATCAGTGTATATAAAGGAAGTTAGACGAGTTAAAGAAATGATTAAAAAACATTCTATCCATCTGGTCACAAGAGACTAAAGAGGCTGAAAATAACTGTCTGTGTAAAATAACTGTTGTAATATGCAGATTCGATTTTTGTAAATAAGACTCCTTTGGAATAAAGAACAAATAGCAACCCACAATCCATTGTCCCATGCTAGTTCCACTTTATTCAGCAAAACACTGGATGCAGTGGCCTAGAGAATTAAAATGCTAAATGCTGAATTTTCTGCTGTTTCAGCCTGATGGGATGACTGTATGGAGGAAACCGCACGAGTTCCTGCATCCATCACGCCGCACCTCACTACTGCAGGCTGATGTTTGTGGTGTTTTATTCTATTATCATGTCTTATCGGGATAAATGAGGAGCAATATTTGAGTGTTAATGCACCACTGAGCATCACGGTCAGGAGCACCCTGATTTAAGGACTTTGTGTACTAGTTTGTACAAAAAGTCATCTGACAATGTCTAAAGGCAGATGGCTGCACTCAAAGGTGGGGTGAAAGGCCATCATCATATCCTCCTCTTGGCCGCATCCAACTGACTCCCCAGTCCCTCTCCAGGAACTCCTCTCCATCTTTTTGTAGTCTCAACAAGATGAATCAAAGAAATGGGGATAACTATGGACATTCTTTACTCTCCGGCATCCAGTCTTTCAAGAAGTAGTTGAAAGATGGATAAAGAGAGAGCTTGCAAGAGCCAAAATCCTGCTTAATTTTATTACCTCTGCACACTTGGCCAATCTCTGTGTAAAGTGGGTGTGACTGTTGCATCAACTGCTTTGGAAAGTTGCAAAAATTGTTAGATGCAGACCCCCCAATGCCACTGTTAGAAAGGCGATTTTAGAAGCACTTTGAAGATTACTGAGGCTTTTTGTTTTGATTCAGTTATTGAAACATTTTTGGGGGGGACTGGGAGTCTGACCCCCTGATTAAGACCGCAAAAGAGGTAGAAACGACAGTTCAGGGGGGTTGAAACATTTATTTATCTTGCTTACCTGTAATTGCAAATATTACAACATATTTCTCATATTCATGTCTGGAAGAATCTTGCACTACGATTTCAGACTCCCCTACAGTGGCCCATACCATTTCTTTAACTTGATGTTAGCTGCTGAATGTCTTGTGTACCTGCCTCACTCCAATCAGTGGCTAGCGTCTTTGCACCTGTGCGTCGCAAAAGCAAATTGAGACGTTGTTGGTAAATGTAAGTGGCAGTAGCTAAGTATCTGGCTTGATTAATACACTTTACTTTCTTACCTTGTCAGTTTTTTTTAAATAGATCGTGTCAAGTATCTACGGATGGACGCTAATGTCAGCTAGTTACTAATTTTTGCCTTAAGGACAGTTTAGCTAGCTAATGTTAGCTAGCTGATAGCGCGTCCCTTCGTTTCCAGTGTTAGCTTGTCATTTCATTACCAATATATAATGTCATGTTATCTAATTTTAGGGTTACACTGGCACTCGGTCATGAGCAGTGAGACAATGGAAGATTAGTTATTCCAGAGATACGTTTTGACATCAATGTAGAGTGTATTATTTCATTTTAATAGTCTTGTTTGGCTGTTTTGGTTTAGTTAGTCTTTACCTATTCGACAGTAGCCTTTCAAGAGGCATCCCCTTTTTTTCCACTCAGTACTGGAGGCTAAATAATTGTATTAGCTGTATTAGAAAATAAGTAAGTGTATTTACTCTAAGTATAAGTACAATTTTGAGGTACTTTTACTAAACTATTTCCATTTTATGCTACTTTAAACTTTATGCTACATTTCAGAGGGAAATATGGTACTTTCTACTCTACTACATTTATTAGATAGTTTTAGTTAAACAAGCAAGATGCTGTAAGGATTGTAACATTTCAGTTCACTAAAGCATACACCGGCGATGAGCTGGGTTCCCTTTCGCCCTGGTGAAAAAGTTGACCCCCCTGATTGTCATTGTACAAGTCGCACTCTGGTCGACAAAGTTTTACTGCAGTTTAGTGCCATGAAGGCGGGGTTATGCTTGAAATGAACTAGTTTGTACATGTTTTGTTGGAAGGCAAAAGTGTTTATAGCTTTTGTAGATGTCGTCACTGGTCATCATAGAGAAGGGGTAGACATCATAGCTGTTATTGTTATATGGGGATAACAGTGCACCTTTTCAGACAATCTTCTGTTGGAGCATACTGATGCCTTTAGAGTAGGGATAATGATGATGAATGTAGCCCCTACAGACTTAAGTAACCAGCCGTGTGATGAGGTCACCTTGACATAACTTTGGGCAAAGCTGAACCTCAGTGACTCATTTTAGCCAAGATGAAAGTACATAAGCAACAGTTTTATGTCAATACACCAGACTAATCATCTTACATTACAAAATAGGTTATTCCGCAGAAGTCCCTTTCATCTCCACTTTAAATTCAGCAGATTGTGTCCACTTGCCTACAATGCCAGACTTTGGCATTTACTGAGATCAGGAAGTGACAAATTGAAATGTGAGGGCAAAAGTTTTAAACCACTTGGTGAAACATGGTTAAAATACTAAAACTAAAGATTTATCTTGTCTTATTCTACCTTCAAGTCATGTTGAAAATAAAGTAATAGAGCACAGTAGAGTAGAGCACATTAGAAGAAACCAGCAAGGTAGATGCAGTTTTTATTTAATTTAAATCCTTGTCTGAAATATTCTGCTAAAAATGTATGAAACAAGTGAGGCAACCAATTATTTTTTTTATGAAGTAATTAGTGAAGTGAAGGGTGTTTTATTGATTTTTTTTGCACTGGCAGTGTAACATCAGTGACAGGATTTTTGCCACAGCTGCACCAATACTGTGGATTACTCTACGCAAAGCATCAGATGATCTGAAACTTAAAAAACTCCCCCTATATCTATTTCTGTACTTTGCTGTGTATCTTTGGTCTGTGTGGGTTTATAGTTTTAAAATCACTTTATAACTAAACTTGGCTTCCCTGCTCTTAGCTATGTCTTGGTATGAAGAGATCACAGACCAGCTGGGCTGGTAAACATCAGAATGCTGTGTAGAGTTTACTGATGTCAGGAAACACTGCTTACATCCCTCAGCCTGTCACCCATCACTGACATTCAGAGCTGACAATATGCAGAGTTACTACCCCAGGGAAGTCTTCAAGGTGCCTCAAGGCAGGTTAAACTGCTCTAAAATTATTTCTGTCAGTATTCATGAAGACTGAGACCAATACTTACCTTAGATTGAATTTGTGTGTACTGGACTGTGTTGGATTGTCTCATCTGTTTCTCTGGATGTTAATATCTTGTTGGTGTCTTCAGAGTGAGGAGAGGCAAACCAGAGTGTAGGGTCACTCCTGGGTTTCTTTTTACAGCAACAGTCCAAGTACAAGATCACTATTCCCTTAAAAGCCAAATAGAGCTCCTCCTCTTCTCTCTTAGACAGATACAAACACCCCTGCACATCTCAATATATTATGTTATGCTAATGTATTTTCAGTGGATGAGAACTGACTGTTTCAAAAGTGCATACAAATCTTTTCAGATATCTGACAATAGCTTTCTTTCTTATTTTAAACCAACGTTATTTTCCATCCTTCCACATGCACAGTCTCATTTTTTAAATTGTTCAGCAGGACCCACGAGCTGTTAAGGCCTGTTTTTTGTCAATAACTTTCCAATTTTTCATCATAGACACTTCAGACCAATTTTACATTGATCTGAGCCTCCTGTTCCATTATATACACAACTTCTAGCTTTTAAACAAAATCATGCAAAAAGATGGAAAACCAGGGTTCCTATAGAAATCATGATTTATTATTAATATTATTTTATTATTGGGAGCTAAACTTATAGACAGAGTATATATGTGACAAAGTATCAATGGCAGTAAAAACAATTTAATGAAGGTGTAATCCGAACACAGATAATTTTGAACATTTGTTTGGTTGTTGGACATTTATCAGAGGTGCAGTAAAGAGTAAAGCTGGCACTCATTTTGTTTGCAATCACTGTTTAAGCATCTTCACCATCTGCACTTGTAAATGTGGTGATAAATTCTCCTTATAGGTTTTTCTCTGATAAGCAGAAGCAGCATTTATTTCCTGCTACAGTTTGATTACCTTTTTTTCCCAATTTAAGCCACTATAATTAAAACCTATTTTCTCAATCCCTTATTAATATGTTGTAGATTGTACACCATTTTTTCAAAATTAAAAATCACTGTCACTGAGTAAAATTTTAAAGATTTTTTTTAAAGATACTGTTCCTTGTCTCTGAGAAATCATGTGATCACTTTAGAGCTGCTCTAAACTGTTACTCCTCCACTTTGCTCTGTGCAGAGTGGGTCACTTGATAAATGTGTCTTGTTTCTCACTTTCAGCGAATAACTTTTTTATTCTTTAGCTGTCAGAGCTTTAGTTAGTGTAATTCTTAGAAGTTTGATTAATATGGGTCCTGTACTCTTCTCTTCTCTTTTCTCCTCCTCTTATCTCACCTGACCTCACTTCACCCCACTTTCCTCCTCTGTGTTAAACGTTAACACTCTCACATGGATTACTTCATTTTCAGACATCCATGAATCCTCCTCAGTCTCAGACCTCATGACTCATGCAGATATTTGATGATTACACGATTTTAAATCACGTGTTAACTTACACACTTTCCTCTCTGCCCAGGCTGTGAGAGCGATTTCTGGGGTCCCCACTGCACTAACCGCTGCCAGTGCCGGAACGGGGCCAAATGTAACCCGATCACCGGAGCCTGTGTCTGCACTGACGGCTACCAGGGCTGGCGCTGTGAGGAGCCCTGTGACCCCAACTTCTATGGCAAGGACTGCCTGTTGGAGTGCCAGTGCCTCAACGGCGCCACCTGTCATCATCAGACTGGAGAGTGCCTTTGTGCACCCGGATACACCGGGGCCTTGTGAGTAGCTGCTTATTGGCTGTTTTGCCTTCTGACTGTCTGTCCCTCTGAGGTGTTTTCAGAAAGCTCCCTCCAAATTCTCCATAAATGTGCTGATGGGCTTTTGATTATTACAGTTTTGACAGTGATCTACAAAATTAAAGCTGAACTTTAGGTTTACTTTAAGCTAGGCAAATAGGAATGTATATTACAACAGCTTAATTTAATAATTCATTCAATAATTCAATTCGCCATAGCCACCTTGGAAGTGCCTGACTCCGCCTAACTCCTGGCTAATACAAAAATGAGCAAAGAGGTGGGGCGTGTGTGGAGCTGAGACTTGGATGCATGCCGGTTTGTGGTATGCATACGCTCACCCACCTGTCATTTATTACATGAACTAGGGGCAGATTTTTTTAAAATGTAAGTGATGTCTTCCAATCTTCCTTGTACTTGTATTTTGACCACTGAAAAAAAAATCACTTTCATTGGAGAAGAGGAAACACTTATGTTGTCACAAATGACCCCAAGATAAAGACGGACAACTTTTGTCTCTCCATAGATTTTCCCACCTTTAATTTACACACAACAACACAGCTGCTTTTACTACTCTCTTTGCTCCGTATACACCAGGTCTATATGAAGTCAAAAGTCTTATTTTAACACTAGAATTGAGCCAATACAACAGAAACAGATTTCTCTTTATTAGGAACAAGAGCAGAGGACTCTTAATTTTTTTTAAGTCACCACTCAGTGTCTGCACTTGTGTTAAATGTTCTGCAAACCTTGCACATGTGTGCAGTTAACCAGAAATGATTAAAGGTTAGGTGAATGGCGTCAGAGCTGAGATCACTGCAACATTGCATTTTGCAGTTGTACAAGTATAGTTGGCACAAATGCATCAGAACAGTGGAGAAAAACTGTAATGTTAAATGTATAAACACGATTATTTTACTGTTTCCAAACACTATTTCATAACTGTGAGTTTTGTTAATAAGAAGAAGTAAGTGAAGATATGTATTGTTTCTTCATCTTGACTTTGTATGTTGACTTGTACAGTACAGGAGAGTCAGTGATTAGATGATTCACTATCAAACCTCACATCTCAACCTAAACACCTGCTTCTTCTGTCTTTCCCATCCAGCTGTGAGGAGCCGTGTCCTCCAGGTAAACATGGCTCCCTGTGTGAACAGCACTGTCCCTGTCAGAATGGAGGAACGTGCCATCATGTCACCGGAGAGTGCTCCTGTCCCGCCGGCTGGGTGGTACGACCTGCACCGCATTCACAACAAAACCAGCTAATATGCATTTCTGTTGGAGAGCCCGCTAATAGAGTGTACCATATTTGTACTTGGGGCTGAGGATGAAAATTTACACAGACATTTGATGTGACAATTTTTAAAGTGGAAGAAAGTTTAGTTTTTAGTGTTTCTTCCGTGAAGTTTATTTTTTTGCGAGGCTACAAAAGTCTCCTTAATGGCATTTAATTTAATCAGGGGACACCGAATTTATTTGAAACCAGCACTTATGAAACTTTTATATGGTTAGGAGCTATTTAGTCATCCTGCTGCACCTGCTCAGACTCACAATGAATAATACAGCTATCGAACATAATACGAGCAAAGGAAATAATGTGATTGCAGTTGTTACTGTAGAAACAAACACAATCACTGGCTGATAGTTAATGTAGTGGGCTATTTTTATTGTAAATTAACTCACAATACCCTGAAAACTCCTAATAGATTGTGATGATTTTTGTTTTTTCTACTTAAAATGAAGGGTTATTGTTTCTCAGATTAGGGTCTACAACCTGAGAAGTTTTCTGACACTATTGACATCACTGCTGTCTTACTGTGACAAATAACTCTTTGAACTTTTATTGAATTTATTAACTGATATTAACATGACTCCGTCTAACACATAGCATTTTCTTAAACTTAGTAGTCATATGTTTAATGTGCATGTTAACATGATGTAATCTTTCTCCTCAGGGCCCAGTGTGCGCACAGCCGTGTCCGTTTGGATCATTCGGCATTAACTGCTCACAGGAGTGCACGTGTCGTAACGGAGGGTTGTGTGACCACATCAGCGGTCAGTGCCAGTGCACAGCTGGCTACATTGGAGAGAGGTAAAGTATGAAAAGTATAATATCAGATATCAAGTGTAATATCAAATATCATGATGATATCATATATTGCAATGTTTTAGCTGGACTGCATCAAGACATTACATTTTGGATATTGCCCTCGTGGGGAGAAAGATAACTATAAGAACACAGTAAAATACTTAATAAACAGTAAATAGAGTCAGGAAACCAGGAAACTAATAGAAACAATGAGGCACTACACTACCACTTGTCAATGTGAACATGTTTTCTGAACAAATTAGTGGGAAATACAGAGGAGTGATATAAATGGTTTTTGTATAAAATGCTGCAGATGTTAGGACCAGGCTTGACTGCTTATTTACATTTAGATGATTTAATTAGTAATAACTTCTTGCAGATGTCCCCTAAACGCTTCACATGCAGATTATTGGTAGATGGTACAAGTTAGATGATCCCTAAACGCCTCACGTGCAGAGTACCAGTAGATGACACAATTTACAGATGTCCCCTAAATGTCCCCTAAAATCTAAAGAGTCAGGTTGTGGTGACCAAAGAAGAGCTAAAAGGAGAGTAAATACTGGACCAACATTCACTGGATAACCTTTGTTGTTTTTTCCAACAAAAAAAAAAAACTAACTAATTTCTAAGTAAATCCCAGTTGACATCAAGACATTTATCCTTTAAAATGTTTTGTATATTATCATTGTGTGTGTTCTCAAAATTAGAAATAGATTGTGACATGTGAACTGCATATTCTGTATATGTGTGTACAAGTTACAGACACTAAATTTTCAGTGTTAAATGTTAATGTTCTTCCCTCCCCTACTCTACCTCATACTAATGCTCATGGATTGCAATTATACTCTTTTCTCTCTCTTTTTTATTTATTTTTTTATTTTTTTATTTTTTTCTGTACCACCGTCACCTAAAGTGGAAGATTTTAACCAAGAGCCATTTGAAATAGTTTTCTACTTCATTACCTCCATCACCTCAGACTCTGTCTGTTGGTTGAAAAAGACCTTCTCCACCCCCACCTGCCCCTGGTCAGCTTGATCTCTCCCCCCCCCCCCCCCCCCCTCTCTCTCTGTCTCTCCTCCTTCCACTCTGCCCATCTCTCTGTTTCTCCCTCTCCATCGTTATTCTCAATTGAGCCAAATTACCTCCATTCATTTAGGCCCCAGACAGGTGAATTAGCCTACATGGAATAATTCCGAGATTGAGTTCTCTTCTGCCCCGTCCACGTTCTAATGGAATTAGCCGAGATAAGAGTCCTGAGGAAGTCTCCATGATTTAAACGTGACACTAAACATAAGTCCTGGCTGGGCCATTTTAATTGAGTGATTTGTCTATTTCTTAATGGTCTCAAGTTGTGGACGTGTTGAGAATGATGCAGGGATGTCAGCTTAACTTTAACTCAACTTAAACAATTTCCTATTCAATTCATTTCTGACTGTTCAGTCATGCTCATTATAATCCATATAGCCACTTTGTAAGATTTAACCTTGAGCACCACTCAGGGTCTCAGCATAATGTGTAGCCTGTTGACCTTATAATGGTGCGAGTGTACGTGATGGTAGAGCACATGTCGTCTGTGAGGAAAACAGAGTGCCCTCTGCGAGTGTGGGATAATATCACTCAGCTTTTATGGTTAGATAGTAGTACAAGCATCATACATCATTCTTTGAATTGTAAATGTGAACTTAAAGGATAATGCAGGCAGTGGTGAGTGTGAAACCTGTTTTAAACAACCAAAAACAAGTTTTCACTTAACATTAGTTTGAGTATTTCTACATTCACACATGTATATGTGAGCATACAGTACATGGTTTGAAGTCTTATCGTAGTTTTGATCATATTTTGGACGTTTTTTGTTTTTTCCATGATGCATATTTCCACTGTATTTTATTTTCTTAAATTTTTTGAATGAATCTTGTGATCTGTGGGTTTTGTCTCTGGTGTGTTGGTGTCCAGATTTTGTGTAGTACCATGTAGATCCAGGTGTGTCTCTATTATTCCCGCATTGACTGACTTCCCTGAACATCTGAGGATTAACCAGTTTAGTTTAATTAACCGGAGTATTTACCACTCTGCCTGATTTGCGTTCATCATCTGATCATCACTAATGGAAAACAGAAGCGTCATTAGAATCTGTCCTCTGCATTACCAGTGTCAAACTGTCACTTTCATTTCAGCATGTTGAGCATCATTACATTGTTTATTTTCATACTTTTCATTTTACCACAAACTTCTGCTCCAAAACTGATATTAACTTTTAAAGGTTCCATATTGTATTAGATGAGATTTCCATGTATTTTGATTATAAAGCAGGTCTAGGATCTATATTAATACTGTGAACGTATCAAAGCGCTCAGTTCACAGAGAAATGCTCACAGCCTGTATTCAGAAACTGAGCCTTAAAACGAGCTGTCAGGACTTCTGTAACTTTGTGATGTCATAACAAAGTAGTCACCGCTCTCAGCCATGCCCCAAGCCAAGCCCACCCAGACCCATCATCCAGTCTTGCAGGATTTGATTTCTCTGAGTGTTTACCTGAAATATTTTCGTTAGATCACTTAGAAAACAGTCAGCCAATCAGAAGAGAGGCTCAGAGCCTCCTCTCTTCTAATTGGCTCACAGACCTGTTTTTGGTAGAAATAGAAATATAAAGTTTGCACCCTTTGTGTCTTATTCTCAATGGACTGCATTGTTTAGTATAGTTTAGTTTCCTAAACACAGGTCTAAATACAGTCTATTATTTACATTTCGACACACCTATAGAGCTCCAGGGGTCCAACATTTTGGATATGATCTAAAGGAGAAACATGGAAAACCAACCAGACTTCATACACAAATATTTATATTTAAGAGTTCAGTTCATCCTGTACATCTACTGCAAAAAAAACAAAAAACCACTGATGGTGATGAGGACACACATCATGTGATCGAACGTACTGACTGGACTATTGTTTGCATAGGAACTACTGCATGTGCAATTCATACAGCCAGGTTTATTTTTTGTATGAGGTGAATCTTCGCCCCCAAAAAATGTAGAAACACATCTACAAGGATCCGGTCCTTCCTTCCTTCTTGATATGTTATCTTTGAAATGAGATTTTTTTTCAATAACTGGATTTTAATGGAAGTCACTGTCATGTAAGGATCTGAAAATTGTTAGATAATAACTGTATCTCTTAGTCTAGCAGGTAAAAATTCAGAGATTTCAGAGGGGAGGTTGGGTGTGCATCATCACTGTTCCTTTAATGCTTTGTCGGTGCCTTTCTAAGAGATAACCTTATTCACTGAGCTGCTGACCAAGACTCATTCACTTTGTGATTTTCACCTCTTCTCACGGCCCCTTTGTTATTGTTTCACACGAACACAGGTGCCAGGATGAATGCCCAGTCGGCACTTACGGGCCGCAGTGTGCCCACAAGTGCGACTGCCAGAACGGGGCCAAGTGCTACCACATCAATGGGGCCTGCCTATGCAATGAGGGCTTTAAGGGCCCCAGCTGCCAGGACCGCTTCTGTCCCAGTGGCCTGTATGGACTCATCTGTGATAAATACTGCCCCTGCAAAGCTGCAAACACACTCAGGTACTGAACTGTTGGTCAAGCAAGCAAGAACGTTTCCATGCTTTTGTACTGTAGAACACCGTATGAATAGAAGAGGGTTGGGTTTGAATCACTCACAGGATTAATGCCTCTGCACTTCAATGTCAAGCTTTCTGTGTACAGTTCAGTCTCTAATCGGTTTTGGCACTGCTTCAATCAGATCAGTGCATCACTAAACTATCACATCTTAACCAGAAAAATTTCTACCTCTTGTGCAAGTTTATCATGTTTTAGACATAGATACATAAATATGTTTTACATATACAGATCTTCAAGTGTCTGTTCTCAATGCCATTGTGTCGACTGACTAATATCTCTCAGCTGTCACCCTCTGTCGGGAGAGTGCACCTGTGCAGCAGGATGGGCGGGGCTTTACTGCAACGAGACATGTCCGTCCGGTTACTACGGTGAGGGCTGCAGAGAGCTGTGCACCTGTGCTAACGGAGCCGACTGTGACGGCACCACCGGAGCGTGTGTGTGCGCACCGGGATATATAGTAAGTGCAGAAACACAGCTACTCCAAGATAAATCCAATAACAACAACCATCAAATATCTAATGTTCACATTAATTTCCTATTTTACTGAATCTGTCTGATCCCTACACTGCTTCAGATTAACATCTTGGAGCGTTGCAGTTGGTTCATTAGGTTGCTTTTGAATACTTGAACCTCTCTGTTAATGTAAACAGACTAATTTCATGAAAACCTCTCAGGCTTTTTCACAAATCTACTTATAGAAGTGAATATAAATATAAAGTTTTCATAGGGAACATTTCTGTGATAGAAAACTGTTGGTTGGTGAAAACTGTTGACAGTGTGTTCTGTGGATTTTTTTTTTTATATAATTTTTACTGCTGCTAGCTCTGCAAATGAAATTCCATTCAGAGAAAAGCTGCACATCCACCATTGCAGCTGCCAGCTAGACCTGATCACTGTATGACAAAATTAATATAGCGAGTTGGTAGTACGCTAACTAACACTTTAAACCTAACATCAGAAACACTTTTCTGTTGATTGATATTTAGGCTGGAATGATTAGCCAATTAATGGATGAGTTGATCTCCAGGAAATTAATCACCCAATATTCTGATTATTGATTAATTATTCAAAGGTCCCATATTGTATAAGGTTTTTGTAACTTTGTGATGTCACAACAAAGTAGTCACCGCTCTCAGCCATGACCCAAGCCCCGCCCACCTAGTTTTTCAGAATGTTTACCTGAAATCTATTATATTTTAATTTGATCACTTAGAAAACACTAAGCTCACTGATCTGTTGTTGCTGGAGCTTCAGAGAGAAACCTGAGCGAGGAGATGTAAAACTACATTGAGGTGGTTTTTGCTCCTTAAAACCACAAATATATTCTCTAATGGATCAACACTTCAAATAAAACACTGGAAAGGTGTAAAATATGGGAGCTTTTTAGTCATTTATCGAACTAAAACATTCTTTGTGTTGAGCCGCTCCAACATGAGAATCTGCTGCTCACTGCTGAAGAAGGGTATCATTCAGTGACATCAGTAAAACCGCTACCTGCCTTATTTCTCTGCGTGGTTTCTGTGACTGCCGTGGTCACTCAGCAAACCATGGCAACAAGTTGTAAAAAAAAAAAAAATTCAACCATCTTCAGCTCAGACAGCAGACTATTAACCTTGGCATAACAGCTTCTTGGAAACAATGTGGGCGCTGGCTTGCATAAAGTTTGTAAACTAAAGACACATTAAAAGAAGAATGGTTTAAATCAAAGCAGAAGAGGCTGACATATTCTGACTTTAGTCCCTAGTATATCATCGTACATATCCCATAATGCAACTGAATAATATCTTTCATAAGACTCTCTGTCTTGTAAATGTGCATGACTTTCTTTCAGTCTGTAACTTAGACTTTCTTCTTTCTACAAAAGTTTCAAGTTTTTGAGGCTAATATCAATGTGTGGGAGTTAAAAGTTTCATGATGATATATTGGTCAATAATTATTTATATTTTTAACATAAATACATAACAACTTTGTGTTTTGTGACCAATATGCACAATCTAAGCAGGAAAAGCGGAAAAATCTGCCAGTCTGCTGGATGATGGTATCTAAAGGACCTCACACTTAGTTTGGCATTTGTGTAATGACAAATAAAGATAGTAATTTCTTGTTACTTAATCAGCTGACATTATATTTGACATTTGACAAAGGTCCTTCGGAGCGACAGAAGACATTATACAGCTGTGTCTCAGAGGCTGTGCAGAGCTCCCCATGAACAGTAAACTGACGTCAGTGTGTAAAATTGGAGGAGTTCTCTTTTAAGAAATAAATCTGAGAATAGGACTCGTCTTGGTTCTTGGCTTTACCATAATGACAAGCTGTGACTATGTTAGATAGTACAATTTACCAATGTCTTCCTGAACACCTCACACGCAGGCTATTGGTAGACGCTAGCCACAGCACACATCGTCAGGGGCCCCACTGAATGCGATTTTGGGCCAGCGGCAGTGTAGCTGTCAATGCAAAATGTGCCAGTATGACGTGCCAGCAGGGGCCCCTTTTTCCCGTGACTAAAGTCCAGCTGAACAGGAAATGTAATGAATCACTGAAATATAAAGTCCAGTTCTTCTACATCTGCCAACGTTTAAGTCTAAGTCTATTACAGAAGCTGTAGTTACAGCAAATAAAGCAATAAAAGAAACCTAGAAACTTTTTTCATTCCTGAATACAAAACAACGATATTTAAACAAAGAAAAATATGTTGTGCTTCCAGCCCTTAAAGAATGTGTGTGTGAAACTGTGGTAATCAGTTACACTGAAACACGACGGCGATTTGTTCGTTCAGAAGCTCGGTGTCTTTGTTATAAATAATGAAGAAGTGGTACCTTCAGTAGAGGTTCTTTTCCACCAACATTTAACGATAACATGTGTTAGCTTTGCAGCAGCAGGTGCAGAACATGCTCTGTGACACGCAGAGGTTAATTAATCAGATGCTGTTGACTCTGCAGGTTTAGTCGTAGAGTTACATGGCTTTTAATGGAGAAAGGCGACTGCAGGTGCAAACCCCCCAGATGCAGGTCAGGAGAAAGAGAGTGTGTCAGAGTCCAAACATTGTTGTGTATGTCAGCAGTAATAGTGTGTGTGTGTGTGTGTGTGTGTGTGTGTGTGAGAACTATGAACTTACACCAACTTGATATTTAAGGTTTCTGCATCAGGATATTTTCACAGATTGAGGTAATTTTAGGCTGCTTTCTGATTTACACACGGTTTGGATCGGTCCACCAGGGTCATGCATTTAGCCCAGTGTGTTTTCTTGTTCATCTGTCGGTAAGCAGCATGTTTACAAAAACTACTTTACAGTTTTCAGTGAAATTTGCTGGAGGTTAGGCCTTGGGTCAAGGAAGAACGTGAGAACTATGAACTTACACCAACTTGATATTTAAGGTTTCTGCATCAGGATATTTTCACAGATTGAGGTAATTTTAGGCTGCTTTCTGATTTACACACGGTTTGGATCGGTCCACCAGGGTCATGCATTTAGCCCAGTGTGTTTTCTTGTTCATCTGTCGGTAAGCAGCATGTTTACAAAAACTACTTTACAGTTTTCAGTGAAATTTGCTGGAGGTTAGGCCTTGGGTCAAGGAAGAACAAATGTGTTTTTTGTGGCAGTTATAGAGACACAATGTGCCTGTTGATAAAGAGACATTTCCCTCACATTTCAGCCAAATAATCAGAACGATTAGCCATCTTGTTTCATGTTGATTTCTGATTGGGGGATGGGGTATTTTGATTTGTTTTGCCCAGCCCAAACACTAGTAAGTGTATCTCTCCCACCAAATTTATTTGCAATTTTTTAGCATTTTTATTTCTGTACACTGATTTATAACAGCACATACAGCTGTGTTAAAATCATCCATGAATAAAACCCTCTCTGCGCATGACGACTATAGTATAGCTAAGGTTATGATAAATAAAATATGGCACCAAAACACTTTTGGGGAAGATCATAGTTACTATAATAATTAAAGCAAACATTTATTTTGCATCTGTGATTGGACATGAGCTCCAGTCTTTCACATGAAAGTCAACTTCCAGGGCTGAAAAATGAAGCCGACACTGAAGTGCCAAAAACTGCAGTTCCTTGAATAACCACTTATGCTGGCTCCAAAAGCGAGTCAATCCCTAAAGACTCCCATGTTAAAATGCCCAATTTCGTCCTTGTCGCCATATTTGTGGCTAATTTATCTGAACAAATGTTCTTTAATGAGCACAACAACATACCAAAGTGAATCACTGTCTGACTTGTGGATGGTTTTCAGAGGTCTGGAACCAGTTTTCTAGACTGTTTTAGTAGATTATTGTTTTCCTGGATTAGTCAGTTCAAGATGAAACAAACCGTTTCAGACAAAACAAATGTCTATAACATGTTTGGATAAGCTGAAAATGGTTTTTCCTTTTCCTGTATTTGGTTGCCAAATTCTCACAGATGTCACAGAAATACACAAACTGCTCTAACTCTTGAAAAACATATCGTGTTGTTTCAGCCAAGGCAGGGCTGAATGTGAGCTCTGAGTGATCCTGTGAAATCTTATTTAATTTTTTATTTTTCAAAATGTGTCTAAAACCATTTCAACTTCGTCCTTAGCAGCTGATGTGTATATTACTCTTTTATTTCTGTTGTGCATTGCAATATGGGTAAATTATGGAAGCTATGAAAGGCCAGTGATTTTTTTTTTTTTTTCCTTGCCAGGATCATTTTTCTGTTTTTTCTCATCTGTTAAAACAGCCCCCAAGAGACAAGTGAAAACATTTTTTTCTTTTTCTTTTTTTTGCCAGGATCATTTTTCTAAGTCTTTTTTTTTTTTTTTTTTTCATCAGAATTTTTCTTTTTTACAGATTAAAAAAAAACTTAAAAAATGATCCTGGCAGGGAAAAGATTTCACTTGTCAGGGCTTCTGTAGTACATACTATTCACCATCACTGTCCTCTTTTTTTATTACTATTTTTTAAATTTGTGTAATACCAAGATCTTGGATATATCAAGATATTAGTCACCTACACTGTACATTTGTTAAGGTTGTTAAAGTTAAAACTTGAATTTAGAGTCACAATTAGAGTCAGGATTAAAGCTAAATGTGAGGCAAGTTGACAGATTTGAAGGTCAAATTATCATTTTTAATAGATTTGGGTTAGGCAGGTGTTAATAGAAATGTTGAGTGTAGCCGTGTGTGTGTGTGTAAGTATGTGTGGTTTTTCAGTAGTGTGTGCAGCAGTAGCTGGTGAGGATCTGTGCCCTCCTGGCGTGTTGAGTGATCGTGCAGTGACTGAGCGGAGAGTGGAGATGAGACACCTAGGAGCAGAGAGATGACAGGGACTTTGATAATTGGACTGAGAACATCAGGGATTTTCAGCAGATGAAAGTAGGATGAGCGCTGTAGATGAATGTCCATTTGGTTTATAGCAGCTAAATTCAGATAGATGGTGCTCTCAGAGGAGTGTTATTGATTTAGAGGGAATTTATGCTGCGCTGGTAACTCACAGTTTGGTAGTCTGTGTGTCAGTGTGTAGACAAGAAACTGGCTTTAAACAGAATTTATATGTGGTATTGTCGCCAATTTGGACAGTTGGATCAATATCTGTAAACATGTGCAACTCAGAGCCAATAACAAATCTGTCATACCAGGAGGAAGTGCTTTCACCGAAAAGGACAGAATTACACAGGGTTTTCCTGGAAACAAGTCTTACAGAAAAATACTGTGTTCTACAAGGCGCCTTTCTAGATGAATTCATTGTTTAATGGTTGATTAGATTAACAGATTAAATCCACATATTACAATCAATTGAGAACCGTATAAGTGCACTAATATTTATTTGAGAAAAAAAGCAAGAAGAACTAAAACTACCAAACTTTGAATTTTGTATCTCCAAAATAAAACCCTCTCTGCGCATGACGACTATAGTATAGCTAAGGTTATGATAAATAAAATATGGCACCAAAACACTTTTGGGGAAGATCATAGTTACTATAATAATTAAAGCAAACATTTATTTTGCATCTGTGATTGGACATGAGCTCCAGTCTTTCACATGAAAGTCAACTTCCAGGGCTGAAAAATGAAGCCGACACTGAAGTGCCAAAAACTGCAGTTCCTTGAATAACCACTTATGCTGGCTCCAAAAGTGAGTCAATCCCTAAAGACTCCCATGTTAAAATGCCCAATTTTACAGCATGTTTACAGCCTAGTACAAAAAACAGCTTTGGTCTCTATGGCTAATTTCCCCCTCCATGACAACTGTACAGGGGTTGAATTTTTTATATAACCCACCAAATTTTATTAAGTTATGCATAATTGATGGCGTGCCTGCTTTGAGTGACACGTGGGAGCAGTCAGAGTTAGCTAGCGGTACAGTGGCTAGCTGTTAGCTGTCTGCTTGGCATCACCTCAGCTGATTCGAGTCAGTGAACGTGACCTCTTGGCTGCGTTTGTGATGTCAGTGCCCTTAGGAGGATTTTTCATGTAAAATATCAGACAGATAATATGACTGGTTGTGCCGTTCATTGACTAACAAAACATGAGGAAGTCTTTTTTTTTAGGTGAGTGAAATTCTAGTATTCTTTTGCTTATACGTTAACACTAATTAGCAGGTATCTGTGACTGCGCTCACAGCTCATTAACTAGCTAATTAGCCAACAAAAGGGTTAATCTTTAACACTTGGACACCCAGGATTAGCCGGGAGGTGATGATGGAGCAGCTCACTCTGAGCTTCAAAACTGCTCTTCCGAAACCTGTGGGTGACGTCGTGGAGGCTACATCCATATTGATATACAGTCTATATACAGAACCTCCACAGATTTCACTCAATATTAAGATTAATGTCAACTTATATGGTACTAAGAGTAGCATCCTTTTTTTGTAACTGCTCCACACTCACAGTCCACACACATTCACACCTGGAGGCTAGTGTACTTTAAGCATTACTATACAAAGCATGTGAGAGGGTTACAAGTCCAATAGTCTGCTGGCCTAATTACATTTAAGTATGTAATGAATATGAAAACATTTGTTTATTTGAGCTTGAATTTGTGATAGGGAAAAATAAGAACAGGGTGATGAAGCTCCATGCTGCCTTGTTGAATAAAGAGGTGTATGATATAGGTACTGTATATAAGGATCCTTCGATCCACACGTATTTACTATTCCAAGGGTCACTTTGTTAGAACTCCTACTTCCCCAGGGAAATTCTGATGGTTTTCCTTATTGGGCCCACACACGTTATTTATTAACAAAGTTTTTTAAAAAGTCCTTAATTCGCCAACTTTTTAATAAGGCCTCTCTCTTCCCCTGTCTTTGCACATTTGGCTGGCTTTGTGAATATTAGATTAATAGCAATTTAAAGGCAGCAGGTTGGAAGCAGGCAGCTTTAATTAGCACAGTTTATATGTTGAAGGTCCTGATCAATGCGACAGCGTGCTGGAGGTTCGGGTTGTGTGGAGCTTGCTTTCACAGCATGCTAACAGCGCAGAATAAGGTTAGACATCCTGCTAATGCCAAGCTGTCTGTCTCGCTGCTCTGACCATGTCCACTATTGATTGGACAAGCATCGACGTCATGTTTCTCTGCAGGGACGCCACCAGTGATGATTGCCTCTCTCCTCCATAATACATGTGCCTGTCTGTTGCATCTTCACTATCAGATTTAATGCAGTCATGGACTTAATAATGAATTTAAAGATGGACTCTGAACAAAAACCTGTTTCCCTGGTGTTTCCCTGGTGTTAGGCTGCAGGCGGGGGGGTGAAGGTGAAAAGCAGTGATGCATCTGAGCCAGCCGTATCATAAAGAATAAAAGAGCCCCAGACAGTGAATGAGCAGTACAGTCTTCATGAAACGGTTCTTTAAGATGTTATTAACGGTGGCTAAACACATGCAAGTGTAGAAAATATCCTCCCCCTCTATATTTGAATTTTTTTTTTTTTTTTTTTTTTTTTTTTTTTTTCCCCAGACAGTAGTCGACATTGTAAGAAATATATGGACTCTATGGAGCAAAACTGGAGCAACTGTGTGTTGTGCCACACAGTGATGAGGGGGTGATTTCACATACAGCCCTTTTTATTTATTTATTTATTTATTTATTTATTTTTTACCACAGCAACATGTTTCCTCAAGTTTGACGGGTGCCCTAGGAACCTGTTTTGTTTTGTATTGTTGTATTGTAAAAAGACAAGTACAACCAAATCAATATCAGATTTTTGAGATTTTTGAAATTTCGGATTTAAAAAATCTGGTTACAAAAGAAAAAATGGTAAAAAATATATCATCCGATAGTAATTGTTTTAAAGGTTTTAAGAACCAAAATCAGTCTTAATGTAGTTTCACATCTCCGCTCTCAGGCTTCTCTCTGGAGCTCTAGTAACAACAGGTCGGTGAGCCAATCAGGCTCTCTTCTGATTGAAGCTGACTGCTTTGTTGTGACATCACAAAGTTGCAGAAATGCTGACCACAAATGTAGTTTGGCATTTCTTTATTACAGTTTACATATACATTTATATATAATGTCATGTGTATGCTTTTATGAATTTGCTTATATCATCTTAATTATTTCTGTTTCTTTATTTTATTGTAATCAACAATCAGTCAATCAATGTAATAAATAAACTGTGGTCAGCAATTGCTGTTTTTTAGTTTAATTGATTTGGCTCGTATACATTTCTAAGATATCTCAGTAGATTGACTTGTCAAAAATCCTTTAAAGATATCTTAAAAGACAGATATTCACCATAGATATATGACTAGACAAAACTTTAATTTAAGATATCTGTAATTACATTTTGACTGGTATTTGCACAACCTTTCTCTTGGGCACAGAGCTAACAGATTTCACCATACCATGTTTTATTTAACTACATTTAAGCTTTAGATTTTTTGGTTGGTAAGTTTTTGTTAATCTAATGTCTGTGATATGAGTGTTTGATTCAGTCTTTGCTCTTTTTTATTTTAATACATATTATTTATATTCTTATATATTTATTTGTTTATTTTTTGTGAGCTCAGGACGCTGCTGGGATATTATTTTTATACCTCATTATTATAAGGAAGCGACAGTATATCAACTTGTGTAAAATAAAACATTTAGTTGGACCTGTAAGTAAGAGCAGTGGAGAGCATGTAAGAAACTTCAAATCATTATTAATTTGATAAGAAATTAACTAGAGGTAGAGGTGGAATACAAAATAAGTAAAAGTAAACACTATAAAAGAAAGAGTGTGTTACATTTGATAGTTTCAGTTCCTCTGTGTGTGTGTGTGTTAACTGTTTCCAGGGTGACGACTGCTCTATCAGCTGTCCTGCTGGCCTGTATGGGACCAACTGCACATCGTCATGCTCCTGCCACAACGAGATCTCCTGCTCACACGTCGACGGCTCCTGCATCTGCAGAGAAGGTTGTGTTGAGCTCCGTGATCCTCCAAAACCATAATAAATCATAGGTTTCTTACATTGGTGGAAGAACTTTCTACAACAATGTAGAAATACTTAGTAAAAGTCCTGCATTTAAACTCTTTGATAAAAGTACAGAAGTGTTTTCAGCCAAATGTACTTGAAGTATTAAAAGTAAATCTAACATGTCCCTTGTGACTGATGTATATGCTGTATGTGACATTATTAGATGTTTCAGTTTGGTACTTTAGTCTAGTGGGTCCCAACCCCAAGGCCCCCCCAAAGGGTCACGAGATAAAGGCAGATGCTATTTGCTCCCAGGTGTCTGTAACCAACAATACTATTTACATCTGGGTTTTAGGTTGTCCTGAACCACTTCAGTGAGTCACATGAGAGAAGTTCTGGCAGAAAGGCTTTCTAACACATGTTTAACATTGTGAAAGGGTCTGTTTTACCTCAAACTACAACCTTTTTCTAAACGTAACCGAGTAGTTTAGTTCCCGAAACCAAACCAAACTGTGACTGAAAACTGAATATAATTTTTTTTTTAAACAAAAAAACAAGTCAACTAAGACTTAAAATAAATTAATAGCAACTTTTGAATCACACAGGAGTCAAACCTCGGTGTCCTGGGGGAAAGTTGTCCGTCATGACCTCCTCCCTATATGGGCTCTGTCACTCCTTACACTGTCTCGTCTGACTTCCTGTAGTCTTTCTGCTATAGTGCTTAATAAACACCTTGAAAAGTACAAACTTAAATTTCTCTTGCAGATTAATTTCACAGGTTTACAGAGGTTGGTTGACAACTACAAACTTCGGAATTATTTGTGAGCATCACTCTACAAACTCAAAATCTTTCTGACCCTAATTTGAGCTTGTACAACAGCTCTCATTCAAAGCACAACTTCACCTGAAACAGCTCTCCTTTTCAGTCTGTTTTCTACTATTGTAGGTGGAAAATCATGTCTCCGCCTCTTCATAGATTTTATTCGAGTTTGTTTTGCTCTTTATTCTGGGGGTTTCAGATGGGGTTTTAACCATTTTACAAACTGTGGTTAGTTTCAGAATAATCTCTCGGCTCCACGGTTGCCTTTTCACTTTTATTATCTCCTCTGTGGGAGAATAAATTCCTTTAAAATCTTGAGTATTGCGTCGTTTTCACTTTTACATGTCTCTTTTATCCTCTCCTTCAGACCTCAATTAGTCAATGAACAGATAAGTTGTAACTATTGATTGACAGAGAGATGCTAAATACATTAACTCATTTATTAAGAATTAATGATACTCTAATTGCAGAGACTTAATTGTGAGGATTTGCTGCTTTTTTACATCATGTCAAAATAAACTGAATAACTTTCTTACTGTTGGTCAGACATAACAAGCTATTTGACTGGCTTTAGCAAATTGTAATTTTTTTTGTTTGTTTGTTTTTTCATACCAAATGAATGATTGATTAATTGATAAAATAATGGGCAAATTAATTGATAATGAAAATGATCATTAATTGCATCCTTAGTATCAGTGCAGCAGTAGAAATTTTGAGGTTATGTTTGATTAATGCGAATTTGAGAAGATTTTGTTTTCCTCCCAGCCAGAAACCCTAACCCTTCTCTCAACTCCTGACCCCGAACAACTGTAAAAGTACCTGCCTCCAGAACTTTTTCCTTTTTACTATTTTGTTCTCCACTTCACTTGCTTAATATCTCTCAATATCAGCATCTTTAAATATTAATGCGCCACTGAACCTCGTGGGGAACATGGGTAATTAAAGTGGAGAGACATCTGAGGCAGAGAATGCAGAACCAGAGGCCTGAGAGCTTTGGCTAGAACAAGTGGGTGTCTGTCTTCACCCTGTAAACTCCTATTTCTTTTTCTCCTTTAAAACCACTGAGTGGGAAACTTGGAGGCAAATTATTCAGATTGATTATCAAGCGTGTGTTTGCTATGTTAATTTAACAGTCTTTATGCTGTAGATGCTTGTAGAGAAAAGATCTGATTATCTATACAGTTCAATATACTTTCAGGACTTTAACACCTACTGCTAGGTTTGGGTGATATCCAAAATTGAATGTCTCGATACAGTCCAGCCCAAATGTCGTGGATATACAATGTTATTACGTTTTTTTAAATATATATGTATATATGTGTATATAAATATATTATTTTATTTTATTTGAGGGTCGGACTCATCAGACTGTGCAAAGCTACAAAAAAAAAATTTATATTACGAAAAATATCCCATATGGTGGGAAATATCACGATTTCATTATTGAATATCAACCCAAGCCTGCAACTGACAGTTGAACTCAGTATAGTTATACACGGTCATAGTGTTCCTACATGTCTGGAGCCATCACTTTCAGTTCGACCCTCCAAAAAAAGTGGTTCACATAATCTGTTTTGGCTTGTTTACAGTCTGTCAGAGCGATGTTGCTTTGTTCCCTGATCTCAGCAATTACTTTGATGAGCACAATATTATCATAACCGATGTCCAAAACTATGAACATAAATCAACTCTTATCATCACTAATATTATCAATACATGCCCCATCCCTGACTCAAATAACGGACTAATGGTCTCTCTGTGACACTGTGTTTCCAGGTTGGCAGGGTGTGGACTGCTCCATCCCGTGCTCCAGCGGCACTTGGGGACTGAGCTGCAATCAGACATGTCAGTGTGCCAACGGAGCGGCCTGCGACCCCGTCAATGGAACCTGCACCTGCTCCCCAGGCTGGAGGGACGAATACTGCGATGTACCGTGTCCTGTGAGTGGCCATGGCAGCCGTAGTTTGTCTTTATTCACTGTTCAGTCACCCACTCAGGCATCCACTCACTTTCTCACATGAGAAACAAGCCACAGTGATGTTTTGCAGACACAAGAAGATGCAAGCAGCTTAATCTTTGTTTGGTTTTAAATTGCTAAAACACCACTTGTGTTTTCTTGTATATGAAAACATTGTTCCTCAATAGGAACAGCAACATTAAGACTTATGTGTATTAATGGTGCATTTATATATTTGTGTGTGTTGTGCTCTTGCTGTTGTTAGGAGGGATCATATGGGCTGGACTGCCGAGAGAGATGTGACTGCGTCAACTGCGATGGCTGTGATCCAGTGACTGGCTTCTGTCACTGTCTTGCAGGTTGGACAGGTGAGTCATACAGCCACAGGTCAGGTTTCTGGTATTAGACTGAGGTTCAGAGGTCAAACAGGCATAAACAGGCTCATAATTGGCAGCTCATATAAACAAGTCCAAAAGTTTCTTTATATTGTACATTTAGCACAAATTAGCAATCAGGCAGAACAATAACAAACACTGTAACACAAAATGTACAATACCAGAAATAACATAAAAGCATAAGAGCAGGTGAAGCTTAGTCCATAGTTATACACCAGACGTGTGAGGAAAGGCTGACGAGTCTTGTCTCATTTGTGAAGGATCCAAACTTTCGGTATCCCATAATCCACTGTGCACCAGTCAGTTCTTAGTGGATCCTCGTCAACTCATTTACCAGGAATTTCCATTCATGTGATTATCAATTACAGGTAAATATATGCATCAGTTAAACCGGACTAGTTGATGAAAAACACACTGCAGGGGGTAAATAACTTACATCAGACATAAAGTCCACTGTTTTACAGCCTGGTCATAGTGTTACTGAAAAGTAGTGCAGAAGTTAAATGGATTTATTTACTATTAACCTGCCAGTTGTCCATGTGGTGAGTCATATCACACTGTAACTCACACTATAAAACTGTGCATCATGAAATTCTTGGTACTTTTTTGACTGTCGGGTTGAAGTGAACCTGCTTTAACAGTTCCATACTGAGTCACACAAGCTGTGTATCAATTCATTCAAAATGAGCCTACTCCCACCACTGGGACACAATCGGTTGCCTCCGAAGGATGCGGCCTCTGAATTGGGACACGGCTACAGAGTCAGTCAGTCTGGAGATGCAGGGTTAACACACATTTACACCAGATGTGAGACATCAACAGTGCACAAGCATCTATCTGTTGACTCCACATTGAACCACCTGACCTGTCCGCAGCAGAGGACCTCACCAGGCTGCGTAACATCAGAAACTCAATGGACAAAATTGGTTCTTTTGTAACCTCCATTAGGAGTATAAAGAAATGAACAGTGTTGTCTATATGTCCATATTTATACCGGAAAGCTCACACTGATCAGTCACTGTATAGTTGATAAGTTCACAACAGATAAGGAGCGGGACGTTTGTGATGTTTTTAACGGCTTCTCGTCAAGATAACACATCATTAAGTGCACCAGATGAAAAAAATAGACTCAGTTTAACCTTCCATCATTCACGTAAATTTAACGACTGGGCCGTTTGTGTGCGTTTGCTAGCTAACAGCAGACGCACTGACTGTGTCTTTGAGAGTCTGTCTGTGTATCTGTGTTCAGCTCAGCCTCTGACTCGATGCAGAACTCTGTTTTTTCCCCCAAGTCTCTCTCTCTCCTCTTTTCTCTCGTCTCTTATGTTTTTGAAGCACATTCATAAAAGAATGAGTGAGAATTTTCAGCTCATGCAGACACGAGTTCACATCAATTTGCACCACTATGGGAGAGTTTGCATCTCCTTGTATCTCTCTATTGACTTTGTACACAATCAAACTTCACTGCATTCTGTTTGAACGTAGTCGGAGTAAAAAAAACAAACTGTCTGTGGTTGATTCTACATGTGCGTCATTTAGGGTCAATTTGGTTTGTAACATTTGATTGGATGCTTAACCACTCTGTTAGATGGATGAGTAGCGTAGCCTCAGTTTGAATTGATTGTAACTGATGTTAATAATAATGCATGATATACAGCCTTGAATTAGGAAAAAAAAACACCCCAGAAACGCTGCTGCTATAAATTGCCCTTTAGTCTGGTCTTCAGGACTTTTAGAGGACACACAATCATGAGTCACATCCAGCCCCTGAATTGGGGGCTTAAAGCAGGTGAAGCAGGTATGGAAAATAGCTGAAGGGATATTCTGTGAAGGAGTATGGACAAGCATCAGAGGCTGAACAGAGGGAAGAGGGCAGGCGGTGTGGGCGACACCATGACATGAATGGAGCCAGCAGATCAATATGACACACAACAAACTCCAACCTATAATTCTAAAACTGATGGAGATTCAAGCCTGGATGAGTTTGACAGCCCAGCTCTCTTCAATAATTCAACTTCACAAAAGTTCCCCATGGATAAAGCTCTTTTCAGACCTGCCTCTGCTCTCAGACTCCTGTGTTTGTTTGGACGGACTATTTTTTTTAGCATCCTCAGCATCGACATTACTCCTCTTTGAACCTTTGTTTCTTTATTAATTGTCATGTTCAAGTTGTAGCTTTGCTTATTTTACCTGCTAATTGTCAATCAGTCGTGATGAGCAATGATCGATGTGAGAGCTGATGAATATGGAGAGGGCATTTTAATTCACTGCCAGAGGGAGAGTTGGTAATGAACTGACATTGGGAAAACTTCAGTATATTGATGAATATTTAGATCAAAGTTTAGACCAAAGGTTGGAAGTAAATGAGTTTGGTTTAAAGAAGTAAAGAAACATGACGTGTTTGTGTTAGTCTGAAACAGGTAGGTCCATGTAATTACAGTTAAGGTGATGACCGCGAATGGTAATTAGTCCGGTGAGATGATAGGAGTGTTTTCATTAAGCTGAAATAAATAATAATAAACCCCTCGAGCAGCTCTCATTTTCTGTTCAAGTCTTTCTCCTGTGAACTGTCAGTGGATGAAACAAACCAATAAGACCAAATTTAACTGTTTGCACATTGTATGTCCTTTTAACCACAATGTAGCTATATAAAAATTTGCAAAGCGTATCTGCACCGTATCTACTATGATCACAGAGTCTGATTGAAAGGAAAGAAGTGCTAATGTCAGTCGGAACCAAGCAGCAACCTCTGGGGTCAAAAAATGTCATGCTACCAATGTTCCCCCAGTGGCCGACTGTGGTACTGCAAGACAAAAATCGCTGCAGGTAAAAAAAAAAACACTTTTGAATGTATGTGATTGGTGAGTCGCTTTCAAATGAATGTCTGGACAATTGTCACAACTTAACCAGTCCTCATGAACCTTTTACCCCATTGTTCTGCCCCCATTGATAGGCATACCACACCCTGAGGGCCGAGTGATGCTCGAACAGATCTAGTTCTTAAGACTAGTTTGTTTATTGCTGTTCTGTATGGCTACACTGGAAGCCAGGGTAAAAAGCCAGTCGTCAGAGAGGGGGAAGACGCAGTATCATCTAAATATGAGGAATGGGATGGTTTGCATGGTTTAGTGTTGCATTTATGGACCATAGGTGTGTACTGTACAGGTACTAAGACCATACAGCAACATTTCCCCCCCCGAATGTGCCGAGAGCTGTCTTAGTATTGTTTGTCTGCCTGTTTGAAAGTGTGAGCAGCTCCTCCTTTTCTTTTGTGCATCGCACTTTGGGACAATAAACCCTTTTCAGGGTTCAGACATTTTGACATGGGATCTGCAAGTTAGGAAGTTTCTGGTATCATTTATGTTATTAATTCCACCTGTGAATTTTTACTGCTATGAAAAGTCAAATGTTTCCCATGAAACAGGCTTTATTTTTCAAACTTAGAGGCCATTCAAAGTGCTTTACATAAGGTGAAGACTGATAAATCTGTGAAGAAGAAAATATTAAGTCTGCACACTGACAAATGAAAATATATCTTATTTTATCACTTTTCCATTGTGAACACAGAACATCCAAAAGTTAGTGTGCAGTATGGACTTGGGATGCAGCACGTGTTTGTGAGCAGGAATAAAGCAGTAAAAACAGTGGATGAATATACTTGCAGTACTTGCAAAGAAAAATCATCATGTGAGCTAAACTGGGTCAGAAACCATAATATTATTTATGTCAGATCTAATTTTTGAATTTTTCTATCAATGCTTTTGTCACTTGGGATATGATTCCTGGGTGTCAGCTTCACAAAATGTTAGTGAGGAAGACTTTTTACTTTTCATCTGCTCCATATGCTGTCCCAAAGCTCTCATCCTCCACCTCTCTAGCCCTCCCTTTGTTTTTAACTTCACAGTATAACGAATAGGGCTTCTGATTTTCACCCGCTTTATGGCTCAAAGGTAGTTTATTAATTGACTTATAATGGCTGCCTGTGCCCCACTCTCATATTCTCTCATATTCTGTGTCAAAGGAAGTTTCTAATGAGCTACACATAGGCCAGACTGCAGTGAGACAGGGAGGGAGATATACTGTATTTCCACATACACTATTCTTACTATGTCTGTACATCCCCCTGTCTGTCTGTTGCTATATTTAGATGTGGTGCTAAGCGTGTTGCTCTGGGTGTGTGTGTGGCTCTGAGTGTAACCAAAAATTAATGTAATGCGAGTCTCTTGGGCACCACGGTCTCCAGACTGTCCCCTGTGAGCAATGGGGGCTCTGATCGTTCTGTAAGACAGCTTTTGTGTAGACAGACAACTCCTGCCTCTCAGGACACACACACCCACACACACACACACACACACACACACACACACACACACACACACACACACACACACACACACACACACACATGCAAGACTGATGAAAGAACGAGACACTTCAGCAAATGATTAAAGGGCAAAAAGTCTCAGGCAGAATTTGGGAAATTTAGGTTTTTGCTTAAAGTGTCTGTTCAGACAAACTGACATTTATTCATAGACAACAGTTTATTTGGTACAAGAGGTTCACATTGTAAAGTGAAAACTGAGGCTGCATCAGTTACTTTACATAGTTTTGAATGTTGATGTCATAGATTATACTCCAGCTGGTAATTAATGCCAGTTGATTTTAGTTTATCACAGATCAATCAGTATTGGCTTATAATGTCAACTAATAAATCACAAACAGCACTTTACAGAGAGCAAGTCAACTGTAAAATATCCCATAGAGAACAGGCACTGGTCACTACACTTATGAGATTTAAGGAATCTTTATGAAAATGTTTGTTTGTGCTAAAAAAGACTAAAATATTAATAACCTCAAAAACCAATACTGGTTGGCCTCTGGCTCATGTAATTAGTGAAACCGCTTTGAGGCAGTACACAGATTTATTCCATTTCTGAATGTCTTATACAACATGTTTGAAGAACCAAACTGATGTATTATTCAGAAACATGTAGACAGTTTATTTACTAAATTATGAACAAAAGAAGAATCTATTTAATCTGTATGAACTATTCAATGAGTAATTACCTGTTATAGGCGACCGAAATACCGTCACTTTTTTCATTTTTCAACATGAAACATCAGAACAGATGAGATAGTGGTGAAATTTAATCTCATTTGACTCCATTATTTTCATTCAATATTGATGATGATGTTCTGCTTCCCAACACTTAAATGAGCAATTACTAACTTAATCTAAAAAATAATCAATAGCTTAAACAATAATGAAGACGATCATTAATTACATCATCTTTTCCTTCCTGCCAACACCTCATTTCTCGCTTGGAGACATTTAAATCTGTGTTTTTAATGAACGAGGCTTGCATTTTTCTTATTGTCAAAAAGTCCCAAAAAAAAAAAAAAAAAAAACTAATCAATGCATTAATCTGGCTCTCAGTAATATCTGACTTCACTACTCTGTCTGTGCCACTTAGCCCAAAGTCCATTAGTTTCTCCTGAAGATGTAAATCTTTAAAACAGCTCTTAAAAATAGTTTCAGTAAAAGCAGAAGGAAATGGTGCATTTGCTGGGGACTATTTCCAGCTGCGGATTAATCTACATTTGGTGCTGTAGTGAGTATTTGTGTGTGTGTGTGTGTGTGTGTGTGTGTGTGTGTGTGTGTGTGTGTGTGTGTGTGTGTGTGTGTGTATGTGTGTGTGTGTGTGTGTGTGAGTGTGAGAGAGAGAGTGTGTGAGACTGAGTCAAAATAAACCACAGTGTGTGTTCATGGTGATTAAGGAACATTGTTGACGAGAAGAAAAATACAGGATGTCATCAGACTTGTCCTTTTACAGAGGAGCTGCAGAATGAAGAAGCTCCTCACCATCTCTCTTATCTGTCACATTCCTCTTTTCCATACATCTCATCTCGTTCACACTCCCTCCTCTCCTACAAACTCCAGCTCAGGGTAGGTGTTAAAAATGCCTTTTTCTAATGTTCCCTCATCCTCCCTTTTTTGCATCATTCTCTCTTCTCCTCTTTCAAGTCTAAGTGACACATCTGAAACTTTGTGAGCAGCATTAGGGAAGTCAGTTCGCTTCACTTAAAAGTCGGGTAGCTAAGAACAAAGCCTCTTGCTTCATCATAGTCTATAATGTTTGTTGTATGTGTGTCTGTGTGTCTGTGTGCGTGCGTGCGTGCGTGCGTGCGTGCGTGCGTGCGTGCGTGTGTGTGTGTTTTCTGCAGGTGTCCATTGTGACAGCGTGTGTGAGGAGGGACGCTGGGGACCCAACTGCTCCTACAGCTGCACCTGTGAGAACGGAGGCTCCTGCTCCCCAGAGGACGGCACCTGTGTGTGTGCTCCCGGCTACCGCGGCACCAACTGTAGACGAAGTAAAGAAATAATTTATACGCACACACACACACACACATTTTACTTCTGCTGTCCCAGGTGCAGTGTGATGGTGGAGAAAGAACTTGGAATCCAAAATTTGCAATAGCACAATTTAAAAAACTAAATGAAGTCGTACTCTTAAATGTATTAATTGCGAGTAACTGTACCTGTTTGACTGTTTTAATATTATTGATCTATCCATCAATAATGAAAATCCCCAAATGATGGGGTAATGATTTTCGTGCCTTCAGATCAGTTAAAGGATTACATGCTCCTTTGCAGGTTGAGAAAAATTCTATAACTCTTAGATAATGTCTAAATGCAGTGAACTGCAAAGTGTGACTGAGCTGAAACAAGGATTCCCACAGGTAGACACAAGTTTCCACACACTGGAATGTGCATGTACAGATTTATTTCATTCATGCTTTTGGTCACAAACCAACATGGAATTTGGATTCATGTTTATGACCCAAAGCTTGGATATAGTTAAATAAAATGTGCAGATCTGTTTATGATTTTTTTTGTATTTACATGTGATTATTTTCCCAAAGGCTTACAGCCAGGTGAGCAGTGGATATTTAAAGGTACCCTGTGGAGTATTCTTGTAAACAGAGTCTCTGCTTACATTGTGTGTTTCTCACACAAAACACACTGTGTGTATCCTTGAGGTCTTAAAAAGTGTGTTTAATGCATTTCCTTTCTCATAAAACATTTGCTAAGCTTCTTTTTGAAACCTGCATTGTACATCCATGTTTACTAGCTCGAGGTGTTATCTTTTCCTGTCTTTACTGGTGCATTGCTGTGTTTTTTTTTGTTTTTCAGTAGAGCAGTGTGAAACCTTTGGCAGGGGTGTGCATTATATCAGCTGCACATGTACAAGACCCACACTTAAAGCCTTGCTCCACAGTGCTGCTGGTGGTCAGAAACTCCACAGGGCACCTTTAAGCTCTTATTTTGAATGTGACATGTTAACCTGCAAAATAACCTGAAAAGTCACAGCCAGCAAATGAACATAGTGGAGTAAAATGTATGATGTCCCCCTGGAATTATGGAGGGAAAAAAGGACAGCTATGAAAATGGATGATATACTCAAGTAGCTCTAAATTGTGGTTTGCTAGATAAGTGTGGAGGTTCACTCTCGACCTTGAGGACACACACACTGTTGAAAGAAACACTCTGAGCTCAAACTTTACACTCAACCTTCGGGAATAGCTGAGTGAGTGAACTTTGAAGCTACAGGCATTATCACCTGTAGTTATTTAAATGTTAGCACCCATCAGTTTCTTTTACACGTTACATTAAATTAATGTTTCAGGACTCAGAATAGACTGACTATACACTAGAGGATCTGAAAATGGATCCCCTGATTTGTTTTATTTTAATCACATTTAATCACATTTTTGTTGTGTGTATGTATTGCTGATTCTAACATAGTCATTTTACTGTTTTATCTTTATTCTGCTGGTTAATAAGTTCAAGGTGGTTCCATTTTTGTTGGTGTTTAAGATCCTTGATTTTTGGATTAACCGGGAGTTAGTCAGACACTGCCAAGATCGTGATGATGGAGCACCTCACTCTGAGCTTCAAAACCGTTCTTCAGAAACCTATGGGCGATGTCACTGAGGCTAGGTCCATCTTTGTCCTTCGTGCCCATCTACGCAAATGACTGTGTTACTGCTCATGTTGGGCAACCCTGTTTAAATAAAGGTTGAATGAATAGGGCACAAAGAAGTGTAGAGGTGTGATATTATAAATGGCTGATGATCAATAATTGATGTAAAACTTGAACTATGGATATCATTAAGTATTTTAAAAGCTCACCTCTGGCTGGTCATCTCTGTTCGTCTCACAACGCTACACTTTGAAAGCTGATATGTCTGACAATACACTGAGATTGCCCAGATACTGCACCAATCACCAAGCAGTGGGGAGTGTTCACTTAATTATAGTATGACTCGTTGCCCCTGGAAAACTGTGAACAAACACCCAAGGTGTTATAAAGTGAAGCATCCTTCCGCTGCATGGCTTATTTCTCATCTCCACTTTGTGTTTTTTTTCCTGAAAATCAGACATGAGCACCACTCAGAGCCCAGCGAGTTGTGTGTGTGTGTGTGTGTGTGTGTGTGTGTGTGTGTGTGTGTTGTCCATTGAGGTGTAAGAAGGATTCATTTTAAAATCTGATTGAAGGAGAAAGTTGTGAATCATCTCTTGTACAGCCTACTTGAGATAAAGTCGGAGGCTTCTTGCTGATGTTGCTTACAGTGTGAATAAAAGGAGTGTGAGTGTCTGTCAGCCTGACACTGTTGTTGATATGGGAATATAACACATCACTTAAACTTTGCTTCTCCCTGCATCACAATGATACATTTAAGGGCTCTTGGCTCACGGTTTAGGCAATTATCTCAAGTTGGAAAATCTTGTACCGTGAGAGAAGTGGTGGACCGGCCTGCACAGGCTTGTCTACCACTTAGAGTAACATAAATTAAAGTAAATTAAAGGCCTCAGGAAGACATACAAGGGAGGATCTGTGCTGGAAGGAAAATAAGGCAAATCTAATGCGGCAGGTAACAGGTTGCAGGTTTACCCAGGGGAGGAGATCATGGGCTGGAAGACACTTTCATGCACACACATTAGCTTGCACACACACAAATATATAGATATGGTTGACAAAGCCTATATTAAGCTTTCAAGTATGTCAGTTTAAATTGGGACTAAGTGGACTATGAAATCTATTATTAAAATGATCAAAGAACTAATCACAGAACTAATCAGAAGTTTCCCTTAGACTCTGAAATGGACTTCTGTCTCTGTCACACACACACGCACTGCTCACCCACATCCCTCTAACAGGAGTGTGTGTGTGTGTCTGTGTGTGTGTGTGTCTGTGTGTGTGTGTGTGTGTGTGTGTCTCTGTGTCTGTGTGTCCTCTGCAGCCTGCTCGCCTGGTTTCTATGGCCATCGTTGCAGCCAATCGTGTCCTCAGTGTATCCACAGTGACGGGGCGTGCCACCATGTCAGCGGCCACTGTGAATGTCTCTCTGGCTTCTTCGGCTCCCTCTGCAACCAAGGTCAGTGGCAGCTTTCTACAGTCCTTTGTTAAAAAAAAACAATGTCAACCCTCTTACACTGTTTGTATGAGGCAGATGGGTTTTGTTTTCATGCATTGCTCTGTCCTCACAAGAAGAAATATTGCACTCGTCATGGAAAATTCAAAGTAAAGCCTTCAATACTCTACTAGAGTATACAGAAATGAAAAGAGTGAAATGATGGTTTCATGGTGAACGCATACAGTCAGTAAAAACAGCATCTGCACCAGACATTTGAGAAACTATGTCTTTCAAACTTATATCCCTCAGTTTCCAAGACTGAGCTGTTCGCATCACTAATGACTAACAACAAAGCACAACTGTTTTCACCTGCGAGTCGCAGTGATCTTCATGTGTAAATTCTGTGGAATATCCCTTTAAACAATCTCTCCCTCTCTCTCCATTGCACCCATCATACAGTATTTCCATGTTGAGTAAAACCTGCAACTTCACAGTTTTCAGACTGACACGAGTTTCAACATCACTCTGTGGTGTTCAGAACCGACCAGCTAAGCCTCTTTATAGAGAGAAGCTTAAGTTTTCCACTGTTGTTTCATGATGGACTTGAGTCATAATGCAACTGCAGACCTTTTTAATCTGCAAGACACAAAGTGTGAACGTCTGTGAGTTCAGACAGACGCTGACACAACATGTTCTACTCCCTGCAACTTCCATCTGGCGTACTCTTTGCAGCAGAGTTTTGAAACTCTCATTGCTCTGGTACTGACTGCTCACCTGAAAACGACTGTGTAACCACTGCAAACACTCGCTGCCAGTCCTGCTCTTTATATGATAATTTATAAGCACCATCTCCACTCCATCATCCACCAGGAGGCAGGATACACTCCAAACCTGATGCACACGCCACCAACAGTGTCAGAAATTTAGAACCAAAGTCTGACAATGTGACAGCTGCTACTGCCCACATTCACAAACCAACCAATTAGAGCACGACATGATATGACTGCTGATTTATAACATCATTGCCGGAGTTATGGCCATAGTTATGGTTTTTCTTTTTTTGGTTTTGCTGAATTTTTAAAGTGTTAGAGTCAAGCTGACTTTTTTACTCCATCAGTAGGGCTTGTCGGACAGTTGGATTGCTTCAACACTTTCCCAATTTTCCGATTAATGGAGTCTGTGTCTAGTCATTTCTGTAACACTCAGACATTCAGACCTACTTCAATGCTGTGACTGGTCAGCTGTGTGGAGGTGAGAAAAAGACCAAGGCTTGAACTTCTCTCTCTGTCTAGCTCTCTTTTGATTTGTTCCGCAACCATTTCTCTAACTTTTCATGTGAAGAGCAAAGTTCCTTGAATCTCTTCCAGAGAGACGGACTGTAAATGTCCATATTTAAACAATGTCAAGTCTCCACTCTCTCTACGATGGCAGGCTCACTGGTCCATCTTCGCGTGTGACTGTTCAGATCAGGTTTTAATTTCTGACAGCACCTCTCTGACTAGTTCTGATGATCCATAAACCGGCCTTGGTGCAGATGGATAGTGTGAGATGATGACGTGTCTTCACTACATCTCACAATCTGACATGCCTCCTTACTGATACAGTTCACTCTGACACAGATTGTGACCGAGATATTTTTAGCTCCATCTCACACAGTGTGCCATGCGAAGAATGTGCAGAATCGCTGTTATCACCTGGTGCAGGGAGCGACGAGATCAGAGCCTGCACGCCACCTATCCTGTCTACACATATTCTGTTTTGTATGCTGTACGTGAGCATGTGCTCCACACAGAAACAAATTTCATTTTGTATTTGAGTTCAGTTTTTTAACTGATCAATGAAACTTGTATTGTTCACATTATATTTGTTATTTTATAATCACTGTCTCATATTTACACTTAAGTTTTCATTCAAGTTCTGTTGTCTAACCACCAGCCAGTTTATTTGGGAACACAGTCGGCACACAATTAAACTACCACAATCAACCTCTTGAGAGAACCTCTTTACACAACCTTTCTCTAATAAACTTTAGGTTAGAAGTGAAGGCCTTTATACCTCTTTAATGTCTACATTTTCTTCAGAAATGACAGTAATGAAAAAAGTCTAAACCATTAACTTGGTCTGTGCTCCTTTTCACTTCCCCCACTTCATTTTTTTCTGAATTATCTTTTTGAATTACCTTTTCCTCCTGTACATCGGTATTTCAGTATGGTGTAGCTCCTCTGCAGGTTAAACAGGTGTTAATTCTCTTATGAAGGCAGTTGGCCTTCGTTCGTTGATTCATTGCCAAGTAGAATTTTAAATAGAGACAGTGGAGGAGTGTGCTGTGAAATATTCATCATCATTAAACATGAAGATGGCCTTAGTTATGCCCCGTCCCACATTAGCCATTCTGCTGGCCACTGCATCTTTGAGCAGGCCCATAGATAACAGGACGAACCTTGATGAATCAGATGTCCAGTACAGGGGCTTTTAACCGCCTGAAGAGCCAATCTTGCTCCATCCCTGCTCTCTCCATGTTGGATACCCTTTTGTACAAGCTAATGATGGTATTGACTGGTAAACTCTTAAGGGGTCTGTTGCATCTCCGAAGAAAACAACTCATTGTGTGTTAATTGTTAACTGAGACAAAATAGGTTTTTGTTGCTCTAATTGAGAAATCAAATTCCTCCTTCAAGTGGAAATGGTCCAAGATGTAAAATTTACACAACAGGGATGCCCTGCTGTGAAGGAATGTACACTGTTGTAGCTGTATTTTATTTAAATCTTGACGAAACAAAAGTGTACAAAGCCTACAATTTACCTTCAGACACCCAGAAGAAATCAATCAAATTCTTTATTTGAATTTTGAATTGTTAACTCCTAAGGCTGCTGGGAAATGAAACGCAAAATCAAATTCATCTTCAAAAACAGCAGTGCTTTTTAATGCCTGCTTTAGTTGCCAAGTAGCTATTAACAGGCACTTTTATCTCCTCTGTAATATATTGTCCTGTGCTTTGTATTTCAAAGCTTTGGCTTATTCCATATATTCTACTACTCTTCTTTATGAATATTTAATCATTTTAATATTTTTTTGTTTAAATACACAGTTTTTATATCAAAGTGGAAATTGTTCTTGAAAATAAAATGTGGTCACTTAGTTTCAAACCAGGCTTGGATGAACAAAAACACACGACAGGTCCCTGAAGTAGAGTGTAAATGTGTACGTAAAAGTACACACACTCACTGCTGCTTCGTTCATGGCTGAAGCCTGATAGGCTTATTTAGAAATAATTCACACATTTACAGTGTAAAGTGTTCATTTCAGTGAAAGCAACACACCAAGCACATATGCATGAATGTTTTAGGGCTCTGAGAACATGAGCATGAAAATCTTTGTCCAGCTTACTCACTGCCGTCTCGCTGCACACATGAATGGCATGAACATAATTCACTGACACGGCTCTGTGAAACTTGTTAATGTTTAACTGACCTAATGGCTCATACACTGATTCCATAGAGAGTTTTTTAATTGTTTGCAGCCTTGTCTTAGATAATGGTGATGGTGTATAGGCTGTTTTGTGTGGCAACCTGACCTGCAGTTCAAACTGTTGCCACTTTCATCAGCTGGTGCTTTCCAATCCTCCTTTAGCCTGTGAGCCCTGAAGACAAAACAACGTCACCAACCACGGAAAGATTCTTTTTCCTTGTGTTTCTTTTTTATATGTAAAATTATCTCATTATTCAAAAGAAAAAGACAAAGACTGGAGGAAAGTCAGGAGAGACAAAAATAACTTTAACTAAATACTTTTTTTTCTGCTGTCTTAACCTATTAATCATCTCATTACCCCTTAGATTTGTCTTGTGACCTGTTACGGGGGCCCTGACCCCCAGTTTGTGAATTGCTGGTCTAAGCTTTACTATTTCCAGCTATCTGACACATTCAGCTGCACTCAGCTCTCCTGATGCCCTCAGATATACGGCACAGTACTCATGTCATGCTAACGTTAAGTATGTTAGCATGACTGTACACTAGTGTTAGCATATTTGTATGCTGTGTTAGCACCAAACTGACTCTGCAGAGTCAAGACTTAAACTGCTGGCTAGGTGGATACGATTCATCCTCTGAGAACCATGAATGTCGGAACCGAGTTTCATGACAATTTGTCCAGTAGTTGTTGAGATGTTTCATTTGCAACCAAAGGACAGAGTGACCTCACCACAAACTCTCATTTAATGTGGAAAAAAAAGCACTGTGTGCTAAGTTTAGAGAAGAACATCAGGGAGCAACAGACCAGTCCCTCTCCTGCTAATTATTTTTGCTAAACACTCCTGGTTTCAGTCGTATGTCCATGAGTCTGTTACTTTGAACTCAGCTTTATAGACACTAGTCATACATTGCTAACTGTTACGTAAGTGGAGGGATTTCATTGAGGCATTCATAATGATCTTAATTGCAGCTATATTCACAGTAAAGAATCCCCTTCTGGGTTTTATTCTTTTAGAGAAACAATGTGCAGGCTAATGGCAAGTAGAAGTATAGACAGGCTGAGCTTATTAAAGACAATAAATTTTATGTAACATATGGAAAATGTTTTAAAATGCAAATTAGTGTAAAAGAGTATTGTAAAAAAAAAAATAAATAAATATCCACACAGTTTATGTATATATATGTAGAGTGCATTTATCTGATCCAACTTCTGCCTAAACATTAACATCAGGAAGAAATAGCACACGTGATACGCCTGCAATGTTTTATGAAGATTACAAGCTGCACACTGTATCTCTCTCTGTGCACAGTTATAATTATACAATGAAAATACTCCTCAAACATTTTAAAGTGTGATGTCATGAGGTCAAGTTAAATGCCAGTTCATAATAATATTTCTAACCTTCACTATTTAAAATGTAATATGATGGTTCAGCCTCACTTCTTTCCTTTTGTTTTTTGTCCTGTCCAGGGAATCACACTGTGGCAATTTTGTATATGAAGTCTTATAAATAATTTTTTTACTTAAATTCAGATAAAACTGAACACTACATTGAAGTTTTACTTGCAGAAGTAGCAGTATGTCATCTCATGTTAACTGGCAATAATCAAAGCACCCCAGAGCACATATATATTACTACACTACAGTTTCTGTGTCTCAATATTTTATCAGTGTTAATTTTGGTGAAATCTGAATATTAAAAAAAGAAGAAATATTACATCCTTAAGCAACAGGATGTGCATTTCCCTAAAATGATTAACTGGAAAACAAACTTCTTCCCCCTCTTTTAGTTGCTCTGGGTGACAAACTTTGAGCTGATTTTTTTTTTCTTGCTGACTACCTGTTTTCTCAGCCTGAGTTTATTGAATTAGAGACATTCAGCCGTGATGATTAATTTCAAAGTGTTGGGGTGGGCATATTTCAAAGCAGAAGAAAATGCTGTTAAATTGTAACTAATTGCTCATCAAATTAAAGATAATTGAAGATTATGGTGATTAACATTAGTTTTGAATGTTACACTGAATGAGAAGGTCACAGTCGATGAATCATCCTTATGCTCAGTTTAGATGAGTTATGCTTCCTGTAAAAGACTTGAATAATCCCTAAATCATATTTTTCACTCTTGTACAGTTAATCTGTTCTCCTTACACTATTTTATTTCAAATGTATTTGCCTGTTTCTTTTTTTTGCTCAACGTTTTTGTTAGAAAGTTTATTTGCTTCCTCTCTTTCCCACTCTGTGATTACAGTTGTAAAGAAATAGAAATTAAGTTAAAAAATGATATTTTTTCATGTTTTAGTGTTTGTAAAATATGTAAGGGTTAAGGTGTGCTGATCATGAGCCACAGCATCCTGAGTGTGAATCCAGTCACGGACATTCGTTGCATGTCAATCACCATGTCTTTCTCCTCGTTTCATGTTCTCTAATAAAGGCATAAAAATGTGACAAAAATACTTATAAAAACAAAGGTAATGATCTTAGTGTGTTAATTATTGGCAAGAAAAGTCTTGGTCATGTTGCGTACTTGCCTGAAAATGTCGGATCGTGGCCATGTTGTTTAGTTATTATGTGCCAACAGAATTTAATCCTGTGTAGAATATTGTTTTGACCCAATATTTTTATTTGATCACTTAAAGAAGTCATGTTAGGTAACTGAGTGTGTGTGTGTGCGCGTGTGTGCGTGTGTGCGTGTGCGCTTCCCACAGTGTGTCCCAGTGGAAAGTACGGTAAGGCCTGCGCTGAGACGTGTCTGTGCACAAACAACGGCACTTGTAATCCCATCGACGGCTCCTGTCAGTGCTACCCCGGCTGGATCGGCGAGGACTGCTCCAAACGTGAGCCGCAACAAATAATCTCTCCTTCCTCTTTCACACACTCGCTCTCTGTGTTCTCCCCTTAGCTCTTATCAAGCAGTCAGAGACAATAGGAAAAAAAAATCTAAAGCAATTACTCCATTGGTTCTGACATTGATTATCCATCTTACACTGAACAGAGCTACCACAATCACTCAATCAGTTGTGCAGTTAATGAAGCTGCAGACTGTCCAGAGCTCTGTCACATCCACTCCTCAGGCCGATGACGCATTAGTGTGTTCGAAAAGAGATTGTGCATATGTATGCATTTGTTCATCTTTGTCTAACTGTGTGTGCGCGTGTGCGTGTGTGTGTTATTGACAGCATGTCCTCAGGGCTCATGGGGCCCAGACTGCATTCACACATGTAATTGTCACAATGGGGCCCAGTGCAGCGCCACAGACGGAGAGTGTAACTGCAGCCCTGGATGGACAGGACTCTACTGTACTCAACGTAGGTCTCTCTCTCTCTCTCTCACACACACACACACACACACACACACACAGTTGCGATGAAGTCTCACTTTTTGCAGTGGATTGACTGAGGTCTCCTGCTTTGAATACTTCATACCTACACTTCCATCTGGTGGCACATACTAAAACTACATCCCTGAAAATATTCTTTCCTCCTTTCCTTTGTGTCCTTTCCTGGTTTCCTTTTAGTTCTGGTCTGGTTCATGTCCACACTGACTTTAAAGGGGAGTGATCAGGAAGTTAGATAATCCATTGTTTTGATTGCTGTTATTCTCTGTCTCATCTGATGTGAACCTGATGTGTTTACTTTATGCTCTCTAGTGTCACACAGAGATCACCAACTGAGCATCATTAGCTGAGACTGCAACAGAAGCTTGAATGTAATAGATGGTGACAAAGAGAAAAAGAAGCTTTTTCTGCTTTAATATTTGTTTCACTCGCTTTTCACAGGAAACTGTTAAAATACATGCAGTGGGACACAAGCAACGTTCCTCTTTTCATCACACACACGTGTTACATAGTGATATTGTATCAATATAGGTTACACTTTGCTTATAAAGATGTGTAAATCACTGTGTTACCTCAATCACAAATAGCAGATGAATTGAATCTGTGTTAAAATCACACATCCACTGTTCTAAAATGATGTGGGTGACAGTGTAACGTTGTGGTGTTTTGATCTCACACCACAAACGAAACACGCCAGAAGCGGACTGAGCGCCTCCGTCTCAGCACCAAAGTTCAATTAACAACTTTCACAGCACAAAATTAACTGAACTCATCCAAACCGACCTCGTGGTAGAAATCTTTGGACCACAGCTGTCGTCACAGCTGGTCAGGTATGATGTTTGTGAGCACACCCAGCTGTAATGTGGCGTTATACCACATAGCTGAAAGCAGAATTAATCTCGTGTTACAGTGAATCTTTAAATCAGATTATCAACTTTTTTCCTCTAACAGTCAGGATTTTATTTCCAGAATTATGACCATCATTCTCATCAGTTTTGACGATAAGTTAGTTCCTGACATTTATGACAAGATGACATCACTAAAACAGTCTAACATTATCTAACAAAGACTCTAAACATGCAGCAAATGTCAGACAGAGACAGAGACTGTAACCAATACCCAGTTTATCCATATCATCTAAACCTATCTGACAATATAAAACTAAGATGAATATGCACTTAAGACTTTTTAATGAGCAGTAAAAAATTAGATATTTGCTAAATATAATGTGTCGAAACTGACCCAGAAATCCATTCTAAAACAGTGGAAATAATTTTGAAGTTAGCGTATTTTCTCTTCCATATAATTAAAGTACACGTCTGGGTTTGTTTACAACATGTGTGAACATTATGTTTCTTGACTTGTCAGAGTGGCTCTTAAAAATGTTGCTGAAACAAGAAGGAGAAAAGACAGCTAACTAGTCCAGAGAGAGTTCAGGTTCTCTGGGCAGTGGTTTAAATCTCCTGAGTTGCAAACTGGGTTCACTTCAACCTCCAGAGATGATCCATGTTGTCCCCACTGTGACAGAACAGATTAGCCAATCCCAGAAAAGCTGCTTCCAAACACAGCTCCAGATTGGTGGATCATCTCTCAGATACTGAGTCTGGAGAAAGGAGAAGTTGAATTTGTCCTCGTTTAGACACTGAAAACATGATGCAGACAGTGTAAGGACGAACAGTGGTTGTGTCTTCCTCTCCAGGCTGTCCCACAGGCTTCTACGGCTCCCAGTGTGCTGAGGTGTGTCGCTGCCAGAACGGGGCGGACTGTGACCATATCACCGGACAGTGTTCATGCAGGACAGGCTTCATAGGACAGAGCTGTGAACTCAGTGAGTGTGTTCGTGTTCGTGTTGTACAACAGCAAGTACGCAGCTTCTGCAGTGAAGTGATGACACATGATGAGGAGAGTGCACCCTTGTTTTTTAGCTTGGCAATAATCCCATCAACAGCTTTAACAGAATCATACCACAGAATAATAGAAATTGTCATATTACCATATCAAAATGCAATGAGCATTAGTTAAATTTTCTAACATGACTCAGTTTAAAAGATCGCACACTGTAAAATAAAAGAGTCTGGTTCACCTCTGACCAGCTCAGTTGGGTGTCATCCGAAGTGGTTGTAACCACACACAGTAGTGATCTCACAGTGTCCTGGTGTACACCTGCACATCACTGCAGCAAGGTGTGAAGTTAGACCAGTGGAGTTAGTCTGTTAGTCTCACAGCAGGAAAAGGAAGCACAAAAACAGATGCACAGTACTGACAGAGATGGACTATAAGACTGTATACTGTATACTGTTTATAGCTGTCTTTTTAATATCTCTGGAGTATGAGACCATTTTTTAGCAGTTATATATATATATAGATAAGTGTGATGCTTTATGGCAATATTTTTTATACATGTATATATGATGCATGTTGTATATCAGGTATTTAATGTGCAGGACAAGACAAAAAAGACATTTCTGTTCTTTTTTCTATATCTATAAACTATTAATTATTTTTATAGGCGATTGATCATATACATTAAAAAGAACAGAAGTAGTGTACAGTATATACACCATACATAAAAAGTAACTCCAAAAGTGTGTTGTTGAAACAAATAGTCACAAATACAGCAGCTAAATACAATCAATCTATCTTTATAGCATCTTCATACAGGTTAGTTTAAGTGATTTACAGGCGACTGACAAGACAGAACAAACAGCTGGAGACGGATGCACACGAAAAATAGAAATCATGAAAATATAATAATAAACACACTGAAATGGATAAAAGCCAATAATAAGATAATTAGTCTTTAAAACAAGAAAAGAGTAATAACATTAAAATGAATTAATGGCCATAAAAGGTTCCAGTCAAAAGCTAAAGAAGCAGGTTTTATATGTAAAGTTGTCAAAACTTTGAGCTGCTGTTGGATCCATGCAGAGTGTATAAATATTTATCATTATTGTGATAGCCATTTTACATACATTTCAACAGTCTCATGAACATAAACTGAAATTTAACCCACAAAGCAACACTTCAGAACTTCAAACATCTGCACATAATCCTAGTTATGAGTTTTCACATTATAACTGTGATGTTTGTGTTTGCACCTGTCAGAGTTGAAGATGCATTAACCTTCCTCTCCCATGTGCAGAGTGTCCTGCAGGAACGTTTGGCTACGGCTGCCAGCAGCTGTGTGAGTGTATGAACAACGCCACCTGTGACTACGTGACAGGAACCTGCTACTGCAGCATCGGCTTCAAAGGCATCCGCTGTGACCAGGGTGAGAGCTAATGGGTCTGCACAGAGCTGGATTAGACACTTCTTTAGATGTGGGTTCAGAAGAATCATAAGAAATACGGTGGTAGAGGAAACATGCATACATTTTATAGAGATTAAAAAGACTTGTACAAAAATGTTCATAACATGATGAAAGTGTTTCTATAAGATGAAGGTGCAAAGAGGGTTTGATGGACTAAAATGTCTGTGGTATTTGCTCGTCATTTTGCAGTTTGTGTGAACTTTTCTGTCTTATTAAACTTTTTGCTCTTGTGTGTGTCTATGTATAAGTGAAAGATCCTCTGTAATCTATAGAAATGTAACAGCTTTTCACCAATGTCCACTACCTGCTCAGCACCAAACAGCTGACAGACACAGTTGAAGAGCAGCTGGTTAATATAGTGGAGCATTTAGCAGCTAAAGAGCCAGATGTTTCCCTCAGGAGCTGGTAGAGACCAAAAACAGCTGAAAGAGAGGGAAGACTGGGATTAGATCCATCAGGATGATGTTGTCTTGTCATTGCTGGAATACTTTATGTTCCACTTGGGTTCACTATCGATATTTGTTTCTGTTGCCCCTAGTGGCCAAAACAATCAGTTATTGCTCATTTGAGTCTTAAAATCAGAAGTAAGTAAAAAATTACAAACACTTTTGCACAGGTTTGAGTTAATTGCATATTCCATCAATACAAAATCAGCATTTTGACATGTTTTCAAAGCAGCTAACAGAGCTCTAAAATCTTGAAAATAATTCATGTGAAGATTGGAAGTGCTTCAATTAATGATAAGATATTATTTAAAGCCACTAAATACAGGATTTGAAAATTTCTGACTTTTGTATCCCCCAGTCTAACAGTCTATCTCAGCCAGATGAAATACATCAACAAAGGTCACAAATATGATAGCATTTAAGCTCAATTAAGATCCAACAGCAAAAATAGACAAGACATGGGAGGACTTTTATTTTGAAACTTCCATTTAGAAACAAAATGAGTGATTGATGTACGCTATAGCTGCAGGTGTTATCGGTGTGTTTTGACTTTCCCTGTTTTCCACAGCGGCTCTGATGATGGAGGAACTGAACCCTTACACCAAGATCAGCCCGGCGCTGGCGTCGGAGCGGCAATCGGCTGGTGCCGTGCTGGGGATCATCTTCCTGCTGCTGCTCATCATGGCCATGCTCGGCCTTGTGGTCTGGTTCCGCTATCGGCAGAGAGAGAAGGGCCACCACGTGCCGAACGTCACCTACACACCCGCGCTGCATATCAACTCCACGGACTACTCCCTCTCAGGTGAGACGTCCTTACCTGCGGGTGTTTTCCTTTTTCCTTTTTTCCTTCTTCTTCTTTATACATATGCAGATTGAACAACCTAAACCTGGGCTGCACTGGTGATTATTATCATTATATTTTTTCGATAAATCGTTTAGTCTCTACAATGGCAGAAAATTGTGAAAAATGACCTACACATGTGCTGTGGAATGAAGGCAAAATGCAAAAAAAAAAAATTAAACTACCAAAAAAAAAGGCTCTAAAAACATGACAAATCTTTAAATTAATTGTCAGTCCAAAACCCAGCTATTCAATATTCTATTATCAGTGATATAAAACAGACAAAGAAGCTGGAAAAGGCAACATTTTGTTGAATAAATGATCTAAACGATTAATCGATTATCAGAAATTGTCTCAGCCAGTATTTCAGATCTGATCTACACTGTGAATGTAACTGAAGTTCCTCCTCCTGGTTCCAGCTGGAGTTCCCTCACTTTAATCAGCAGCTTTGGACGACAGTGTCACTGTCAATGATTGTGTGGGTGCACACACGTGTGTGTTATGGTGATGTGTAGGATATGAGTGTCTGTGCTGATGTCCTGTGGTGACAGCAGGGCTGCAGTGCACAGGCCTGCTTTCCTCTGCAGATTCCTCTCCCAGTAACAGCTCTGTAGGCCGCTGCTTCTCCAACCCGAGCTACCGCACTCTGGGGCCCTGCACCTACGCCGCACACTACGCCAAGCCAGACAAGAGGGGCTCCAACAAGGTGGGTGGAAGAGCTTTTCGGCTTATACTTGAGGGAAACGACCAGCTGAAGTTTGCTGATGTGATGTCAGTTACAGATTTGGGAACATAGGAAGTATTTGTGTTTCTTTAAGAATGTTTTTCTGTGTTTGTTTCCTGGTGTGTCAGCGGTCTCTGTGTGTTTTCCAGATGAAGACAAAGAAGCGACACAGGAACAGTGCTCCAGAGTGGGGTGCCTACTGTAACCTCAGTGAGCTAGGTCAGTCTAAGTCTCTACATCTCCTGCCCTCTTTCCTCTGGCTATGTTCACATGGAGCAGTTAACATTTTCACAATCTCAAAGCTGATTAAGGTAATCTACTCCTTCTGTCTCTGCAGGTGTTTACTGCATCGATCGGCGGTACAGCTACCACCTGGAGCCGCGTTACAGAGGTACCGTGTGAGGTGGACCTGTGTGACCTCATCACCTCTGACTCCCCAGCCAATCCTCTTGCTCAAAACAGTTCCCTCAGCCAATGACTGCCTCTCTCTTGCATTTTGAACCTCAGCTTCATGTTTCATTTCCCTGTGTTGGAAGTCAGACTTGATGCAGATTGCTGCATGTCTCATGAAACGTGTAACAAAACGGAATGACACCACATGTAGTTATAATTGGATATGAAGACGTGTTTTTCTTCTGCCTGTGCTCAGTTATCAACTTTCTTAGCCGACTGACTGTGCACCTATAGCAGACCTTACTACACCTGTGGTATACTACACCTGTCGTAAGCTACATGTTTTAGACCACAGAAGGCAGCTTCACTAGTTTTGCTTAAAACAGAAAATCTAGTAAAACTGTCAAATGTAGGACTTAGTATCTAATTTGATGAATTTTATGAAGAATTTTTTTTTTATTATATTTGATTGGAACATATATATGATCAAATATGAGGGAGGGAAGACTAGAAAATAAAATTGGAAACAGAGAAAATAATTAGAAATTAATGGATGACTCCCTGCAAACTTCCATCTTGAAGGGTTTATATAGAAAAACAGGGGGCGATGCAGGATAATAAGTATTTTCTTATTGTTGGATAATTTGAACATAAGGCAGGAAAAAATTTCAATATCCAGACATTATAGACATGCCCTCTAGACATTAGAGCTAAATTGATAAATCATCTGGGCCATTATAAGATTTATCGGCACTTGTATATATGATAACAAGAAACATCGGTACAGAAATACTGTATGTTATGATGTGTTTATGTAAATATAATATATATAATATATTACTATTGGCTGTGTATTGGTTTTTGTATTGTTATCAATACTTTCAAGTACTGATAGCTACCATAAAAATCCAGTATTCCTGTGCTCAATTCATAATGAAGCTTTTCAGACATGAATCTTAATTTCAAATTCTTCACAAAGTTTCCAAATATCTGTCTAAAACGACTAGAGTATTTTCGTTTAATGGAAACAAGCAGCCATTTAAAACATGGAGTCTTTAATATTTCACTCAGTGTAAATGTCAGAGCTTCAGTAAAGAGCTACAACAAGATGATATATGATAATATGTAACACAGGCAGCCAGGGTGGAATAAGATGATTTTAAAAGCCTGAAAGCTACTTGGTAAGGGGGGAGTGAGGGGGAAAGGAGATAATAAATGGACTGAGGAGCCATGTTACTGTTTTGTGTTGATGCAAAACAATCATAAACATGAAAATGATAAAAATGAAGAAATGCATTTCTGTAGCCGCAGGGAGATGTTTACGAGAAGAAAATTGCACATGTGGATGAGATATTATACAGAAAAAAAGGTGCAGCATGAAAACCTCAGGCCTCTCAGGTCCTGTACCTGAACGCTCCGTTACCCTGTCGACATAAAATGTGATTTGTTATTGATTTGATCTTATTATTATGTACCAGCCTGTGCTTACAGGTGTGTTTGTGTCTCTGCAGGATGAATCCACCTCCTCTCCTCTGTGTGTTTCCCTCTCTGCTGTTTTGACCCATCATCACTCCTGAACACCCCCCACACACACACCCCCCCCGCCCCCCGGGGAGATTCTCTCCTGCACAATAACTGAATGCTGTGTGTGTTTTCCTGTCACTTAATGTGCATTTCCTTCAACTGCAGCTTCACTGATTGTCTGTTTTTTTTTTTTTTTAACCTGAACTGCTATGGAAAGTTGATGTTGGCCTTGCAACGTAACCTCTGTCATCCAGTGATGCTTTGTTTATTCTAACATGTTTGTTTTTTTAAAGGATAAGTCTGGTGATATTCTGTTTTCAGATTTTATTTTATTTTACTTTATTTTATTCAAACCTAATGAAAAAAAATATTAAAAATACATCAGTGAATCACTCTTGCACTGGGTGACACACACACCAGTTTATTTAGACTCCATCACACACACACACACCATCCTGCTGCCTCAAATACTCACCAGATCACCAAATGTGGATTAATCCGCTGCTGAAAGTAGTCCTCAACGAATGCACTATTTCTTCCTATTTGTTTGATAAAAATGACGGTGAGCAGCTGTTTGAGGAAGTTAAAATGAAACTATATATTTGTGAGGTGCTTTTAGAGATTTACGTCTTCAGTAGGAACCATTTAGCTCGGAGTTGAGTGTCGCAGACAGAGGAGGGCAGTCAGAAAGTGTGAGACAGACTAACATGTTGTTGCTTTCTTTATATAGAATATTACCAGCCTTATTCTTTAAAGACATAATATATAGAAATGTATTTTAAAGCCACAACAGCTGGAAGTTTCTCACATGACATCTTATTGCTCAACAACGATAAATCTGATCAGAAATGCAGCTGGTCACTGTGGTAATGATTGTAATAACCAGGGAGCCTATTTCATGTTTTGCAGGAAATGTTGAAATGTGAAAATGTTTCATCAGGAAAATGAAAAGCTGCTTTGTCTTTCAATGGGGTTTCTTTGTCTGACCATAGTGGTTCTCAAACTGGGGTCCGGGCACCACCAGGGATCCTTGAGGGGGTTCCTGGGGGTCCCCAGCAAATTTCATCTTCGTAATTTCTCGTGAAGAGTTTGAACTCCCACGAGTCACAGATCTTTATTTCTCACCACACAGTGTTAAACGATCGATGTGTACGTTCTCTCTGTAGACTATATGAAGGGCTCCTTGTCCAGCACCTGCTCCCTCAACAGTGAAAACCCGTACGCCACCATCAACGACCCCCCAGGTCTGTGCAAACACTCGGAGAGCAGCTACGTGGAGATGAAATCGCCGGCTCACCATGAACACATGACACACTGCTGCTCTGCCGCCATCATCACCACCACCACTACCACCACGGCACCCGCCAAGAACATCTACGACATGGGTACGTTTGAGGAGAGGGGAGCGAGGTTTAAAGGAATAGTTTAAGGTTTTGAGAAATGTGCTTAGATGGGAAGATTAATGCCACTCTCACGGGGGAAGATTAATGCCACTCTCACGATGGTGTGAAGCCATTAACATGAGTGGTTTCAATCTGCTCAAGTCAGCAAGATGCGCATTTCCCAAACTACTCCTTTAAGTTGTCTTCGCTGGTTTATTGTTGTTTCTCACTTTCACTGTCATCTGTTTTACGTTGGAAAAAAAACAGACAAACACCTTTTACACAATGAAACATTTAAATGTTTATTTTTCTAGAAGGAAGTATGTAGCATGCACCACTGCTGTACAGTATTTACACAGTATTTATAGCCTCAGGAAAACATGGCAAAACATTTCAGTTTAAAGCTCAAACACTGATACAATAAAACCTTGACTACACAATGTATCTGTCTTTTTAAACTGTTTCACTTTGAGTTTAAAATTAAAATTATTCCATTCATGATGTTTGAGTCCTATGAGTAAAAAGTTCCACATCTTCAAAACACCTGAAAACACCTTTATATAGTATATACTGTATGTATATATATAATACTTTTGACTCTTGTCTCACTGAAAATTTTAATTTAGTATATTTCATTAATTAACAAATGAGTAATTTAAGTATCTGAAGATAGTTAAAAACCAGCACTAGTCCAAGATGGCATCTTCAGGTTATTTGTTTTGTCTGACCACATTCAACTGTCCAAAACATTTTAAAATAATATACAACTGAAAAAAATAAGCAAATCTTGAGCTGGAACCAGATAAAAAGACAAACTGATGAATCCACTAATCATTTCAGCACCACTTCCTCGTCTCTCTCCCCCTCTCTCTCTCCCCCTCTCTCTCACTTTCCCTCTCTCTCTCCCCCTCTCTCTCCCTCTCTCAGAGCCAACCATCAGTATCGTCCAGGGAGCTGGGGGTGTGGTTGTTCCCAGTTACCCTCAGAACCCATACGACCTGCCCAGGAACAGCCACATCCCCAGCCACTACGACCTTCTGCCTGTCCGCCCTAGCCCCTCTCACAGCCACAGCCTCACCCTGCACAGCCACAGCCCCCCGCTGCCCGGCAGCCCCACCAGCTCTTTACTGTAGACCCCCCCACCACCACCATAGTACTGGTAGACTGGACCAGTGCTCCCAGATCACCCAGAACCAGGAAACTGTGAACTGGGGAATAACAGGAAAAGATCTGTGATTGGTGCGTGCAGATGAACATTAGGAGGACATGTTTTGTTGGGACTAACTATTATTTAATTATTTATTTATTTATTTATGTGTGTATGTGTGTGTGAGTGTGTGAGACAGTGAGAGAGAGAGAGAGAGAGAGAGAAGGGTGGGTCACTCCCCCCTGCAGTGCCCAGACTGTCGCACTGCTGTTTGATATTTTATCACTGTATTATATCCAAACTGTTTGAGCTGTCGTGCCAGTCAAAGCTTCATATTTGTGTTGTATTGTAAATTCCCCCTCATCAACAAATGCGTCATCAGAGGGAATATACTACGTACATACACAGGTCTACCTTTTTTTCCAGGTATGCTGATCTGTCGTTCTGACACGTCCTCTGTCAGACGACGGAAATGAAAAACAGTCACTTGTGTAAATTCATCTGGTTGGGACTATTTCTTAAAACTGGAGTTGAACTGAACAGTAAATGTGTCTGCGTGCCAAACACTAGACTGAGGCTGGGGTTACACAAGCGGCAACATCTGATGTCGAAAAATGAAGCCAACACAAAAGTGCTAACAACTGCAATTCCTCGAATGTCCACTTGAGGCTGGCTCAATCCCCATACTGTAGACTCCCATGTTAAAATGTCAAACTTGCAGCAGAAATAAACGTGTCTACAGCATGGTAGAGAAACCAGTTTTGGTCTCTATAGCTAACTTCCTCCTTCATGACAACTGTACGGGGGGTGACATTTTATACAACTCACCCATTTAAATTTTATTAAGACTTAAAGCAGCCACGCCCTCAATTATGCAGAACTTTGAGTGACAGGTGGGTGAGCGTATGCTTGCCACAAACCAACAAGCACCGAAGTCTCAGCTCCACACACGCCCCTCCACTTTGCCCATTTTTGGATTAGCCGAGAGTCAGGTTGAGTCAGGCCCTGCCAAGATGGCGACGGCGGGGCAGCCCACTCCTACACCTGCTCAGGGTGACGTCACAGAGGCTACATCCATCTTTATTTACATTCTGTGGTGTTACACCTGGATTGACTGGACTTGCCAAGCATTTACAGTGAAGGAGCATCGTATAGGTATCATGGCTCACAGTGCTGACAAAAGGTGTTCATTACTCCAATATTCTGGACTGAGAGAAGGATATAAAGAAATGCACACTAACTGCAGTCTGGTCAGATTTACACAACTTGTATATTTCTGGTATTTTTACACATCGTTTCTTATTTCCTGTTTACATATTCAAAGATCCTGCCGAGGATCCATATTTTCTCTCTGAAAAGTTATCTTTTTGTATGTACTGTAGACAAAGTGGTGTATTGGTTGTACACTTACTGTACACTAGTGATTATTATTGTGATTTTCCTTTGTTGTGTCGAGCTTAATACACATGCATGCCAAAGATTATTCAAGATATTATAGTTAGCCAGGAATACCCTTCTAATGTCCTTTAGTGGCGATTGATTATTGTCATCTAACTGTGTCAACATGGAAATGTGTTGATGTAACTGTTGCAGCAAGGTCAAGAGTGGAAGCACTTCCTATTAAAAGTCAAAGATTTCAACTTCCTCCACAACTCTACAGATCCACTGGATTTTTATTCCCAAACAACAAAGATGTATTTAATCTTGTCGCAACGATTTCTTCCATAAGTTATGATACACAATTGTAATGTATGAAATATGCTTCATTTTCCTCACAGGAGGTGCATTTTGTATTGACCATTATTTTCCTGGCAAACAGCAATAACAGGACATGTTGACAATCAGATGGGTGCAGCACTGTTTTCCCACGTTTGACTCCAGACTTTTGTTCCATTTGCTCTCTCCCGTGTGTCTTTTCTTCATCTTTGGTCCAAACAGTAGTTTCAGTAGATGTATCATGTGCTGCTTGTTGTATTGTTTTTTTGGTTGTTTTTTTGTTTCCAGCCCTAAACTCAATAAAGTTGTCATAGCTCAGGGGAGTGGTGTGCCGTTCTGTTACGCAGCATATGTTTATGATAAATAATAATAGTAATAACCAGTTTTGGGAAGGTTACTTCTGAAATGTAATAGGTTACAGATGACTAATTACTAAAGATGTTTCGATACCAGTTTTTCCTTCCTGATACTGATTCTGAACTTCCTGAACTTGTGTATCAGTCGATACCAAGTACAGATCCGATGCTAATTAACATCTGTAAACTACTAACCCTCTGTGATGTGATGATTGGTGTCGTTGTACGGCGTGGTTCAGATTAAACCCTTCGTAAAACATCATTTATCATCTAATTTGACTGTCAGCCTGTCAGGAATAAAAAACACTTCCTACTCTTTCTAACACTAGTGCCCCCCCCTCCAAGTTAAAGCCTTATAAACTGTACATGTCGACTCTTTACTGGTAGGACTTTAAAGTTTAACATGTTTTGCTAACGACTAACACTATTTGACAGAAAACAATTCCACTTCGCTGCTCTAAAACACAACCTTCTGTGTAGGCTACTGTTTTAGAGCAGCGAAGAATTGATTTCCAGGAAAGCTGCAGTTTTATCCGATTGTGAAAGTATAAAGTTTACTAATCAATTGCATGGTATTGGATCAGTGCATACACTTGTCAATACCTCATCCAGTATTTTAGGCAGTATCCGAGACATTTTTGATATTTCGTTATCAGAAGAACTCTACTAATTATCCTGCTTAAAATGCAATAAATGATATAATTAATTCAAAGTAATGTAACTTGTTACATTTCATTACTACATGATTACTTTTCAGTACTATTCATGTAGTCTGTCTCCCTTGCATTTAATGAAAACAATGCTGAATTGAGTTACTGAGTGGTCAGACTCGCATCTGTCACCAGAAAAAAAGACAAATTTTAAATTAAATAGCTAATTAAAATGTATGGTAATTTAACACCATTTTTCCTATAATTGCTGCCACATTACACAGTCCTTTATGGGAACCTTCCTCAGAGTTTATAGTTAACTCCCCTTTGTAGAAACTTTGTATCAAACTATGGGGCCTATGAAATATTAATTAGATATTGTAACAATATCTCAAGTAAAATACAAGCTCATATAAAGGTTTATGACTGGTGCGCTTTATTAAGATGAACTGATAACTTAAGATATAGACACAATTGTACAATTTATCAATCTGTACAAAACATAAAACCATTCATTATGACCCCCCCTCACATTTAACCCTCCAAATTCATTGAAATGACATCATTTCACTCTTACATGTTTACACTGGAATTACAGTCAGTTATAGAATTCAATATAGTAAAAAAAAAGAAGAAAAAAAAAGAAATCAAAACACACTTTTAAAAAAACACAGAACAATGGAGGTACATGAGACGGGATCAGAAATCAGATTTTCAGAATAAAGGAATCACTTCGTCCACAGATTGCCAGCTAGTGAGTCTGGAGGGGCTCGGCTGGCGGCGCCGTCTGTTCGAGGAAACGCCATTGGCACTGCCGTCCAGGCTCACACACACTCCAGAGCTACTGATCTACCCTCTGCCTCTACACACACACACACACACACACACCAAGTTCAGGCAATGTATATGTCTGCTAACGCCACCACACACTGACACGGCTATAAACCTGGGAATTCAACAGAACACACTCTCGGGAGTTTTAGCTAGTAGGTTGTTAGCGAGGCAGGTGTCCATTAAAAGACAGGACTGGACACAACTAACAATTAGCTTGTCTAGCACGTCATCCAGCGAGCCAAGCCTAACCCTCAGCAGAGTTCATGGACAGTAATGACAATGTTAGCTACATAAGGCGATACGACACGGAGTTGCAGTCGTACAGAAAGCCATGCATTGTGTTGAAGTCAGAGGCAGCTCGGTGTACATAGGCTTTATGTGACAGGGACAACACAGCTGTCTGTCTCCTTGAGGGGACAGACAAAGCCAGGTTACTGGTTAAGGAGGAGGCGGACATGACGGTGAGGTGTTGGCAGGTGAATGGAGAGGCGTTTTGGGACAGGTACGTGTGGTGAAGGAGGCACTGTGACCAGGAGTTAGCAAGAATGTGGCTGAATCTCTCAGGTGTTTCCTTGATTCCTTCACCGCCTTGTCATGAGTCCTGAGGATTTAAGGAAACACTTTTGAGACTCAGCCTTTATTCCGCAGTGCTAAACGTTTATGTTTTGGTTTTTGAACAGTGACACCGTCTTTTTTTTAAAAAAAAAAAACGGTACAGCTAATGTGACACAAGAGGTCCAGATTCTCCATGTGCAGTAATAATCTACTCCTACACAAGAAAGCATGTTTACTAGATCAGTGCAAGGTTTTGACAGGTTTATGCTCATGAAGTTCAACCTAGTGACATTTTCCATTTCCTACTTTCTCAGTGCATTCTAACTACACTTCTGTGGTTACATGCAAAGCATAATCTGCTCAACTACAGGATATTTTTGATTATAATATTATTGAGTATCATAGGAATGTCATACGAGAATACTTTTGCTGTTTTTTTTTTTAATTCCTTCATTTGCTATAGAAGTGCACTAAGAAAAAAAAAACAGCCATGTGCTAGTTTCTGCATAGTTGTAGTCAAATGTCAAAAAAAAAGGATGCATCCTGTTTTCCTGATGTTGGAGCAGGAAAGCCTGATGGACAAGCGCGTCTTCAATCAGAGCATCCTTCCCAGCATGAGCATGACTGTCTGCGTATGACGCCACACTGAGACTTAAAGTAGGACAACATGAACATCTGAATGTACAGGAGTTGTGTTCAGCTTTCGTGGTGACAGCCTAAAATTACTCACCCTCAAGGCAATGATAGTGTTCCACAAAGAGTCCAGATTGAGTCTCTCACCCGATAAGAACATGCAGCAACAGCAGAGCGCCATCTTTTAGAGGACATGCAAAAAAACTGGTCCGACCCTGCCACCCCGCTGTGAACGCGGTGACGACAACGAGGACGACGACACGTATGAGGCTGTGCGCGACATGCTAACTCACACCCGGACCTTTCCACAGCGCAAACTGAAGCTCGGCAAATGCAAAATATTCTACGTTTCACTAGCGTCATATTCACAGCAATCAGATCAAAATGGCATGACACTACCGGAGCACGCGTGTCTACACTGTGCTCCATACATCCACATGGTTTCCAAAACAGTACATTGCACTAAAGAGGACGGGGGGGCGGGGCGAGAGGAGCCTAAAATGACAGAGGAGAAGCTTGTATATAGGAATACACTTCAGAGCAACATGTGCTTTAAATTCATATATACCTAGTAGTAGATATATGATACAAGACAGAGAGAGATCATAAAAAAAGTGGAGAAATCAACAGGAGCACAAAGTATGAAGAAAAGAGAAGAAAACAAAATCACATTCATATATTAAGACATTTTTGTGACATGTCAGCGCATCTACAGTAATGAAATCTAAAGTGATATGAAATGCTTGCTGCCTGCTGTCCTGCCGAAACCTAAAGACAGAGGGGCTCTGCTTGGGGGGCCACCCCACGCGGTGACTTCTTATACTGGGATATATTTACCTAGGGTTGGGGTGGGGGGAGGAGGGGGTTGGGTGGGGGTGGGGGCAGGTACAAGGTAGGTGCAGAGTTTGGGTCACAGCCTTGAAGCTGTGGCTCATCCCTCCCACACCACGCAGTACACCGAGGCAGTCTATTTTCTGAGGGCAGGGGGGGCTGGGGTTGAGGAGTTGTGAGCCCGGCAGCCGGGAGCTGGGTAGAGGGGGAGGCAGGGAGGGAGGGAGGCATAGGTGTGGACTGTGGAGAGAGAGAGGGGAAAAAAGGGGAGGGGATAGCAGCAGGTCCGCAGCTGGGCTAGATGTTCTGACAGCACTGCATCTTTGGTTTGTTCTCAGTGGGCTGCACCTGGATGTTGACCACGTTGTTACTGGGCGACATGTCACTCTCCTGACGCTCCGACATCTGCTTCTGAGAGACAATACGGTAGATCTCTGATGGGAAAGAATGAAAGAGTCATTTAGACTTACAGTCTGTTTAGCTTCTGTACATCCTGCCGACTACAGCTTTTACAAAAAATTAACTGCTGCCCTGGTTTTCAGACGATGCGAGTGTGACGTGCATTTTACCCTGTGGCCACTGGATAACTGACAGGAAGCAGATTAGAATATGACAGAAAAGTCTGGAGGAGGAGCCGCAGATCGAACTGTGGCTCAGGAGGTAGGGAAGTTCGTCCGCTAATCAGAATGCAGGTGGTTCAATCCCCGGCTCCTACAGTCCGCGTGTCGAAGTGTCTTTGGGCAAGATACTGAACCCCAAATTGCCTCTGATGGGTGTTCCCATCAGTGTATAAGTGAGTGTGTGTATGGGTGTAATATATGCATGTGTGAGTGAATGGGTGAATGTGGTCTCTACAACTAGAAAATTGCTGTACAAGTGCAGACCATTCACCATCACACCTGTGATTAGGTGATGACCCACTCTGTCACCTGGGACACAGTCGCCTCACACGTTGCCCCCACATGTTCAGAATGTATTGTTCGATCTAGTCTAAGAATACCTACAAACTGGATCCCAGTCTTAAAAACTGGATTTTACAGGAGCATAAAAAATTGATCATTATTTCAGATTTAACATGTATAAGATGCATCTATCAATATAATATAATATAAAAACACACACAATCCTGCTGTTGGAATACATTCACTAGCGCACCAAGTGTGGGTTATTCCACCACTAAAAATAGTCCCCAACAAATTAACTATTTCCTGCATCTTCAGTAGAAATGAAGTTGTGAAGTAATGAGAGACAAACTAAGACATTGTTGGTTTTGGTCTTTTCATGGCCTTTGTTGACATTAAGAGAAATATAGAATAACACCGCCTTTATCTTTGATATCTGTTATGATTTTAAGCAAATGAAGGCATCAAGTTCACTAACCTTATTATCTGTGCAGACACCAGCTGGACCATTAGCACAAACAAAATGTATCATCTCTGTCATGATAAGAAAAGCTTTGCCACTCCTAAACAGATAAACTCGATAAACTCTCCGGACCTCATTATGTTATAAAGTTAATCCAGTGGGGGTGTGTGGTGTGTTTCTGTGTTCAGTAGACACCTGACTTGCCTCTCACTGTAATCACACTCATTAAAACCACAGCTCTGACGAACAACTGTGTATCACTTCCTCAATAAACGTAACGTCCGTTGGCCCCAGAGGTTGTTAAAAGTCAAGGGAGAGGTTCGTGTTATACGTATGTGCACACACACCACAGGACACAACACACAGTACAAACCTGTCAGAATGGTCTGGAAGGCCGTCTCAACGTTGGTGGAGTCCAGAGCCGACGTCTCCAGGAAAGATAAACCGTTCTTCTCTGCAGGGCAAAGTTGAGCACCAGGGCACGTTAACCGTACATCAGATATGTAGCATTCCATACATAGCAGAGCAGTTTGACCAGTTCAGCTGAAATATCTGAAGTCCTGACGACTCGTTTTGAGGCTCAGTTTCTGAATACAGGCTGTGTGCATTTCTCTGTGGACTAAGCACTTTGACACTTTCACAGTATTAATATAGAACCTAGACCTGCTTTGAACTCAAAACAGACCTGGAAATCTCACTTTATACAATATGGGACCTTTAATTATTGTTTTGAATAGTAATTTTCTGGATTTAGACCGCTTATAGAAATGTTTTCATTGTTATTTTGGAATCGCATTTCTGTTTAATTCAGATTTTCTGTCTTATGCTGTTTCTCTGTAACTCACTCTTACTATTGCCCATCTCGACCAGAACTCTCTTGACAATAAAAGGAAGTTTTTTTCAATGAGGCATTTCTGGTTAAATGAAGGGTAGAAATAAAAATAGAGGATAATAGTTTTACCAGCAAAAGCGCGGGCCTCGTCGGTAGGAACAGCTCGGAGGTGACGCAGGTCGCTCTTGTTGCCCACCAGCATGATGACGATGTTGCTGTCGGCATGGTCTCTCAGCTCCTTCAGCCAGCGCTCCACGTTCTCGTAAGTTAGATGCTTGGCAATGTCGTAAACCAGAAGAGCCCCCACCGCCCCACGGTAGTACCTGCAGCGGAGCCACAAGCACAGGAAACATGTTTCAAAAACCCGTCATCATCGCACAATTATAATCAGAGCTGATTGAAAAGAATCTTATAGGTGACCTGGTTAGAGCATTTTGTAACCTGATGTTAGCTACAGTCTGTGTGTTGTGTTGTTGCAGCTGGAAACATGTTTTGGTTGTGTTTCAGCTGCTTTATTTTAGGAGGTAACAAGTTTAAAGTTTCATAAACAAGGTCTTATGTGATGCATTTTGGCTTTGCATCAAATTCTAATCAGTTCATTCTTGAGTCCAAGTGGATGTTTGTGCCAAATCTGAAGAAATTCCCTCCAGACATTACTGATATATTGAATTCACAAGATTGGGACTGACATGAGGTCACAGTGACTTTGACCTTTGGCTTTTGACCCCCAAAGTCTAATCAGGTCATCTTTGAGACAAAGTGACTGTCTGTGCCAAATCTGAGGAAATTCCCTCAAGGCATTCACGAGAATGGGACAGACAGAGGGACAACTAAAAAACAGAAGGTATTAAGTTATGGCCAAAAACATGTTTTGTGAGGTCACATTTGACCACCAAGTTCTAATCAGTTCATTCTTGAGTCCAAGAGTTTTGGAGCTGTCCTATGAAGTATTATACAGTGGTCACTGGTTCAATTTCAATTGTGACAAAAGTATAATCTGGCTGGTATGTTTGAACAACCGAGTCCTGAGCCCCGCTGACCAGCTCTTCCTATACTCACGCTGATGTGATGGCACGGTAGCGCTCTTGGCCAGCTGTGTCCCAGATCTGGGCCTTCACCGTCTTGCCGTCCACCTGGATGCTGCGTGTGGCAAACTCAACTCCAATGGTGCTCTTACTCTCCAGGTTGAACTCGTTGCGGGTGAAACGTGACAGCAGGTTACTCTTTCCCACGCCCGAGTCACCGATAAGGACGACTGAAACACACAATGGAGGAAAGACATTTTAATACAACCTATAAGAATAGTATGATAGAAAGTGCACAATTTATCAACTTGTGCACACATACACTGTTCTTGAGTTTTTCCTTACATCATAATAACCACTTTCTAACAGATTTCATACAAATGATACCTGTATGTTATTACACCTTTTTTATTACATTATATTTGCATGTTCTGATCTCTGTGCTGCTCATTAACCATATACTAATATTTACAACATATCATGTGCAATTATTGTTTATAAAAGGTGCAACAATTACTTGATTTACCGCTTAGTCAACTTGACATAAAACTAGTCTGCAACCATTCAATCAATAGTTTGTCATTTTTCAAAGAAAAGTACCAAACATTCCCCAGTTCCAGCTTCTGCTTTTCTTTGTCTGCTGTGACAGTGAACTGAAAATCTTTGAGGTTTGAACTGTTGGTCTGATAAGAGAAGTCACCTGAAGACGACACCTTGAACTTTAAGAAACTGTGATTGTTATTTTTCACTATTTCTGGTAGTTTATGGGCTTGACAATTAATTGATTAATTGAGGAAATGGACTATTTAACCAATGGAAATATTCATTAATTGCAGCACAACTATCGATGTCAAAAATAATTGGCAGATTAATGAATAATGAAAGTAATCATTATTTTCCCCCTAATTATTGGTATTACAGTACATGTTTCTATTGTTAATACTTTATGCTCGTTTAAGTTTAATTTCATTTAGTCTTTTATCAAGTTTCTTTCATGCAGATATTCTTTACATCCTTATTATTGTTTTTACAGCCTTGAAGTATAAACGTGACAAATAAAGACTTCTGAACCCTGTGAACCTTAACATGTTTGGATGTAAACTAATCATTTATTTATTTACATCCTTCCATTTTCTCTGCCTGCTCATCCTATGTACACCCTGGACACCAGGTCGCCAAGCTACCACGAGACCGACATCTGAATATTTGTTATGATCAGCATGTTGTATGTAAAAGAAGCAAATTTAATCAAATCAACTTCTGTTTCTTTGAAAACAATAGTCAGGGGCCCATGTGACCAATGTGACAGGTTTTGCTTGCTGTAATCGTTCCTCTTGTTCACACTGGACATTAAGAGATCTCCAATGCAGGTGGTGGGGAACAACATCCACAGTCTGTTATATGTGAAAATACATTGCAAAGTTTATCTAGAGTTAATGTGAGGCTTGTGTGCGTTAGATAAATCAAGTATCTTCTAAAGTTAGTCATTTTAATACAAAATCCCCTGTGTGTTACCATAACTCCACAGCAAATTGTTTGCTATTAATAAACAGTCTATTAAATGTAAAAAAAAAAATACTGAAAAATGTCCATTGCAACTCCTCAGAGTCCTAAGAGATGTTTGGACAGGGAATCACCTGTTTATTTGTATTGTAATTTTGAGAACAGCAGATATTAAGTGAGTTATTCTGTTGTCTGTAAAATGTAAAGGACACAGTGCAAGTCTGTGGCGGCTGAGTAATGTTAATCACTGTAAAGCATCGTCATATGTAAAACGTGAAACATGTGACATAACATTCCACCAAATAGAAAAATGTAGCTAAGGCGAATATTTAAGATATGAATAGATCACTGATGGTTCATTAATCATTCTAATACCTTAGTGATAATTGTGTTAATTCGCAAACGCAAACGTTTTAACATTGATATTTAGACAGTTTGTTTACTTTGCTCAGGACATTTTCTCTGACCTCATTGTTTACCTAGCCAAGCTTTAACTAAAGCACTTTTCTATCTAGAAAACTAGCTAACACTTAGCCTAGCTAGTTAGCAGCATGATCTGCTGTAAACTGATTAAAAGTCTAATTTGTATATTTCGGTGCGGTTAACAACACGGTTCGTCGTTTAGCTGCACCTCGCCAGATAATGTGATAACGGTTAACGTTAGGTGTGTCCGACGTGAAGCTGGTCCGCGCCCACCGACAGCAGCTAACAGCTGCTAACTGCTAGCAGCTGACGCTCAAGACGCCCTGTCGGTTAACGATACCGAACATAACGTGACGAATCCACGAGTGTTTCTACACGCACGGTTTAGAGAAGGGTGGTTCTGTGTCGTGTAGCTTAATCAAAGTTGTTGACATGTTCAAGACAGCTCGGTGAAAAGCGATCTGAGCACAAAGGTTGACGGTGGCTAAGTTAGCCTGGCAGTCAGTCAGCTGGCCTGGTTAGCCTCTCAGCTAACAGACCAGCAGAGCGCCAATAACAAGAAGAGGCTTGGTTTACCTTTGAACAAATAGTCATACTCGTCATCTCTAGTGCCCATCGTCTTATTGAGAATTGAATTAGTCCGAGATTAGATAAGTTTTAATGGAAAGAAGGCGATCTGCTGTGTTTTACTCTTCCAACGGGAATCTGTTTGGGAGCCGTACTTCCGTAATTTCTTCTTCTTCTTCTTCCCTGGCAGCCTCAAGGTGACGCACAAAGAGCACTCTGACATCCAGTGGTCAAAAGAAGGAACTGACCAGCACTTTTAATGTTCAAGGAAGTGTAAGTCCAATTCTTCTCTAGATACAGTCATGAAAGGATTACAGGGCAGGCCCACAGGGCCTGAGGAATCAGCACCTTTGTTTGAAGTGACTGTCAATATATCTGGTCAGAAAATCATTCAAACAACCACCAAGAGACACAAAACAACCACATAGGGGCACAATAAGCGACCTCAAAGATACACAAACAACCATGTAAAGACACAAAACAACCACAAAGTGACACAAAATGACCACAAAGAGACACAAAACAACCACAGAAACATACAAATGGCCAAGAGAAGGCACAGATTGTTGAATATTTGTGAACATTAAGCACTCTCTTCTAAAGTTAGGAACCAAAGGAAGAACCCTAAAATGTGCAATGTCATCCCAGTTTGCTCTATAACAATGAATGGGGCTTGGATGCTGTGAGGCCATAAAATGTTTGTGTAATTTCTTACACCAAAATGAATGTTTCACATCTTAAGCTTTATTACCAATTCAAAATCTGAATGAGACTTATTAGGGGGTACTCTACACAGCTACTGTAGATTATGGGGTTAGTGTGGTAATTTAGTGGCTCAAAGTAATTTCAGCTATAAAACTTTAGTAGCTTGACGGATGAAAGCAAGCCTTTGACTTTTTTACACTATGACAAGTCTATACCTCCAGAGTATGTTTTTCTGCTGTTAGTTATTATGCTATTAGTTCATGATTTACACTCAGTATCTCTTAAAGTGGGGGGTTTAAATAAAAAGAATAATGCAATTCCTGCATTCAACATTTTTATTTGTCACTTATGACATTTAAAAGACATTTTAATGGAATATACGTCCACTGGTACTAGAACAAAGATGGTGCCCCTTGTGTTAATCTGATTTCTTCCTTTAGGACAGATAATACAGATTTAACTGTTCTTGGGCACAGGAATAACATGTGACATTTAAGCTGCTGTTGGGTCTGTTATCTTCAGTTACTGCTGCAGTTTATGGATTTTTGCTGCAGTTTATTAACTCTGAACATTTTTTCTGGACTCCATGTTTGCTGTTTTATTCTGTGTTTCCATGAGAATGCCAGTAATGTTGTGTAAATGTGTCATTTAATAAAAGAGCAGTCATGTAATCCGTTTCTATCCTTCATCTAAGGGAAGGGTTGGCATAGGGAAAATAGCAGGAAATGAATAAAAGTCATCCTGGATGGTAGAACTGGTAATGGGACGAGTCTGGTACGTGCAGTGTATTTAAGGCCTGGTGGTGGGTTGTTGGACTCCTCTTGGCTCACCAGTCGGACCGCCCTTCAGCCGGATCTCTCGGCCCAGATCTGGCCGAGTCTTTAACAAGATAACATGAATAACAGCAGCATAAGAAAAGTAAACTAGGGGAAAAACAAACGCAAAGACTTTTCAAACCTGTAACAGTATCGGAAGTCAGTTGAACAGGAAACGGGTCGTGCGGGGCGGAACCTGAACAAAAAGCGAAAAAGCGCGCCATTTCTGCTTCTTATGTGGACGCCAAAATACCATCATGGCGCAGTGAACTGAAATCTGGCTCTGTGTAAAGCCCGCAGTCAGTAGCCTAAGTGAAATACTCGCTGAGTACCCAGGCTGTTATATCATCCTTGCTTGAAGAAATCAACTGCCCGGTTCTGGAGGTAAGTCCCACTGTGTCGGGACGCTTTAAATTTACTTTCCCAGCAAACTGGTTCTAGAAAAGGTTCATTTGTTGATGCTTCATGTGAACAGTGCGGCGTCTAATGGCCTGAATGTAAAATAGGCAAAAATATAAGGGAAACCATGGTTGTATTTCATATTCTAAGCATCAGAAAACAAAGTGGATATGATTATTAATATATATACACACACACACGTGTATATATATGTGTGTTTGTGTATATATTTGTAAATTGAATGTATTCACAGATACTTTTTTATTTGTGGAATTGTATTGTATGTATTTTTTGTATATGTGGAAGGTGTTTTTATATTTACAGATTACACATTTACTCACTGATTGTCAATCTGTTCACACAAATAATAGTGATACTGTCTGTGCTGTGTTACCTATAGTTTTAATTTTTAAATTTCCAATTACTCTTTTTCCTGTCAAACATCCTGGCATTGAATGCCACAGTTTCCAGACATGGAAAGTAATTAAGTCAATTTTTTCAAGTACTGCACTTAAAGTACAATTTTGAGGTACTTTACCTTTCTGCTATTTTATACTTACTCCACAACATTTATTTGACAGCTATATTTACTAGAACGATCAATATTTTTCAAACAAAGTATATGATGAAATATGACACATTGTTATGGACAGAACTACCCAACAATATATGAACTATTTAAAACTAGCTCCACCTCAAACAGCTACAGAAAAATATTGTTAAGCTGCCTAGACAGCAATGTATCATAGCAATCAAATAATATAATGCAGCAATTTTACATTTCAGTTTTGAAGTACATTTAAATGTTAATACTTCTTCTTAAATACATGTATACATTTAAACTGAGTACCTTATTTGCATTATTAATGCCAGAACCTACAGAGATAAAAAATCATGGTTCTGCTGTTGCTCTTAAATATATTGGAATAGGAAAACCAACTCCTAGCAGGAGAGACTTAAATTTGGTTGGACAACATATGGAAATGCGTCTTTTCACATAATGTGGTATTAATTGGATTTGTATGGTTTGTAGATCCATAAATGAATCAAATCATATAAATACTGTATGTACTTATGATGAATAGTGACAGAAGTCATGTCTCTCAGTGACTGATGCTTTACTTTTGTTTTGAATTGTTTTAAATGTTTTTGTTTTTCATTTTAAAAGTTAACTTGTGTGAATTTAAAGATGTTTGAAAGGATTCAATGAAAAAATACACAAATGACCAAAAACTGTAGCACCTTTTAATGTCCCCACTGCTAAAAATATACTAAAATACTATTACCACCACCACGACAACTACAACTACTAACAACAACCATAATCATAATGATAATAGGAAAATGTATCTTAATTCATCTTGTTTGAAAATTTTTATATTGTAAGATACAAAACGTGAGGAAAATAACCTGAATACACTAAAATGATAACTACTGCTGAATTTATACAGAGTTAATTTTTTTTGTTGCAGTATTTAGACATCTTAGATTATACAGTCTCATACTTAATAAAATACTATTATAATATTTTGATACATTTGTAATACTCATTTCATTTCTAAAAATCAAACGGTTGACTCTGCGCTTGAACACAAAGTCATCCACATGCCGAGTCCTTTTTGTCGCATTTATTTCTTCATGTAATCAGGAAGGAATTTCTTCCATTTCATGTTCTGCAAACAAAAAACAAGAAGAGCCATTATATTAGATATTTTCTGATCTCAACATTAACAACTCTGGTCATTGTGTCTGACTTACACTTTTCCCCCAGGTAGATTTGGACTTCTTAGACTTCATATCATCCAGCGACTCATAAGTGTTGCCTTGGACTGCTGCGGCGGCTTCCCCGGGGATCTGCTCATAGGTGTCATCAGGTAGACCAGCAGGTGTTGGCACCTGGGGTACCTCAGCATACGTGCCATCTCCTTGCTGAGCTGAACTCCCTCCTGGCCCCACAGAGGCCTGGTACAGCGGGTTGGACCTCAACATTTCCAGATCATCGCTCTGCTGCTCTGACCTGGAGGTGCTCGGCCTCTGAGCTCTGGGATCATGGAGGGAGTAGGTGTGGCAGGTAACTCTCTTCAGTGGAGTGGGTGAATAAGATGCTGATGTTGTGAAGGAGGGACTACTCATCTGGTTAGAGTACTCCTCCTCCTCCATATTGTTGTTGTCCAGTTGTGGCAAAGATCTGCTCCTGCTCTCCACCTGTGTCAGCTCAGAGTATGTGGTACCAGGAGGACAAAGATCCCCAGGATAGCTTGTGTCACTGGTATTAAATGAGTCTCTGTCTGTCATTGGCACTGGGGTTGTGTCTCCTTGCAGTCTCTCTGATCTGTTTGTCTCAGTTTCACTTGGATGTGAAGTCGTTTCAGGCAAAGATCCACTCAGAGAGAATCCCAGAGGAATGCATCTTTTTGGTACTGGAGGTACACCCTGAAAGACATGAAACAGCAGTTCAATAAGACTAAAAGTGTACAGCCATGCTAGTAGCTCTGTGAGGCTGAGGCTTTGAGCTAAGCGCCACTAGCTGGGTTTCCATTGCAGTTTTGTTCAAAATAGAAGCAATGGTCTGTTTCCATCGAGTTATGTTATGTGAATAATGCTGGGTTTTCTCCTCTCACAATATCATTCTAATTAAGTTTGACAATGGATTCTGTAGTTTAGCATTTGAGTATGCTAGTTTAATAATAACAAAAAGTACAGCTGAGGCTAATCGGAATGTCATACACTTTGCATGTATTTGGTCATTAAAGTATCAGGTGAAATAAAACATTTTAAAGGTTTTTGAAAATAGGATCATGGCAGTAGATGACACAATAATCCAATATCCAATGTATAATTAAAGCCAATATGTTGGCAAACCAGTGCATTGATTTAACACTACAAACTGCGGACAGGCTGTTTGTGTCATCTAACAATTTTAGTGTATAATCATGTTCTGGCTTTTGTAGTTGACCTCTGCAGCTCAGTGAAAGCACTTTAAATATCTAAACCATTACTGAATAATAATTAACAAAAACAGATCCCTTTCTGCTTGACTGAAAGTGATACAAGTTGTGTGTGTAGTCAGGTAAATACACTCAAATTGTATTTTTCTTAACTTCTTAATTACACTTTATCTGTATAACACCAACTTGTATGTGACTCTGCTATTTTGAGTAATTAATCACAGGTGCAAGTTTTATTGAAGTGTTTTGCTTGTGTAATGTTCTAACAACAGAGTATAGTTAGGTATGAGGTCACAACAAAGCTGTCTCAAACCTAATTGAATACTTTGATGACAGATAGAAGAGTGTTTTCACACAGCAGCACAATTATCTTCCTATGCCAACACCTATCTTGAAAATCATCTAATCAGTCAGTTCTAGTTTTTGTCGTACCTGTGAGAGGGACATTGCATCTACAGACACTGTTCCTGTCAGCTTTCTGCTTTTGGATTTAGGTGGCAGTGAAGGTGGCTGCACTGTGGAAGCGTCATTTTGCTGCTGAATCCTTTGATTCTTGCCAGGGTTGCTGTGATGATCGTTTTTCTGGTCCCACAGATTCCGCAGAGCTTGGACACTCACCCCCGACTTGCCTTTGGTGTTGTAATTCACCACGTCATACAGTTCACCTGTGTTTTCCTGAAAATAGCAAGCTGTGTTATTATTACCCTTTATGGCTCTTCACAGGCCCATCTGGCTTCAACAAGGAAAACAAGGGAGACATGTAAATGAGGCATTTCAATGCTGGCAGCAGTCAAATGCAGTGCTAACACGCACACATTGGCAATGTTAACATGTTAATGTTTTGCAGATATAATGGTTGCCATGTTCAGCATCTTAGCTTAGTTGGTCAGCATGCTAACATTTGCTAACTAGTACTAAAAACAAAGTTCAGCTAAGGCTCATGGGATTGTCAGTACCTTCCCAGGTATTTGATCATAAACCAAAGAATTGGACTTGATTATTGTGCTAGATGAGACGCCAGAGGATCACCAAAGCCATCAGGATGCATCCTCTGGGCACCATGAATGTAGGTACAAAATATTGTGCCAATCCATCTGGTAGACCATTGAACAGTTGTTGAGCTATTTTAGACTGCATAGACCAAAGTGATGGCCCACTTTCTCATAATCCATCATGAATGTGCTTGATATTATTTGTGTTATCTCCATATTTCCACATTTACAGTGACTTTACATTGTAAATGATGGATCAATATCAATGACTTAATCAACATTTATGTGGCTAACAGGGCCCTACTCACTTCATAACAGCTGGAGGTCAGGTATTCTCCAAAGGGCTGGATGGGGCTGACCTTGTAGTGCTCTATCAGCTCTGTGAGACTGTGGTAAGTCTGACAGTCTCCTGATATGACAAACTGCCCATCTTGATTCTGGGTGATGACAAAATGACGGCACCTGTCGTGGCCCCTTTGGAGGAGAATGTACAGGCAGTGAGATGAGTCGGAAAGGCAGTAAAAAAATAATTTAACAACATTCAGCAGACTTGGTTTGTCTCACTTGTAGGACAGGATGTAGCCGATGGCTTTATCACTGAGGCGAATGAGAAAACAGCCCAGAGCTTTATCTCTCAGTAGATCTTCCGCGTCCCTGGGGCAGAGAGACAGAGACAGAACCATTTTCACAGACTTGCAGGCAAATTAGATTTAGAAATAACACTGCTATCTCATGAAACCTCCATCCAATTCATATCTCTCTTTTATTCATCACGCAGTGAAAACATAGATTCACTGACACTATATCCATTCCTATTAGGTCCAGAGTCATTGATCCTGTCAAATAAATTGATTTTACTGTGTGCAAACACAGCCTTTATAATAGGAATCAAGTCAAGTATCTCCTACAAATGAAAAACTTAATTCATAAGAAATAAAACACACCTTAACTCAATTCAATACACTTGGGGCTTTTGCTGATTCAGCCTTACTCACTACAGCTCATGGTGGCTAATGTTGGCAAACTTGTGTAACTGACATCACTGAGTCAGTTTACTGACTTCGTCTCAGGACCTGTTCTCTACAGTTTAGTTTGTCAGAGATACACATTTAACTGGTTTCATCACAAAACTAAACACCCAATTCAACACGCAGTTATCTTGTAAGTGCCATTTGTGGTCACATTGGCCACTGTTCCACAAAAGTGACTTTATACATATTTCAAATATTGAACTAACCACGGCTGTAGCAAGGATTTTTTCCCCCCTCCAACAGCCCCTTCAGCAAAAAGTTTTCTTTTGCATTTTTTTAGTGTTTGTTTAACTGTTGAACTATGCTTTATATATTTCATTTTTAATTTGAAGGTCAAATTCTAAACGCTATAACTTGAAATACTATATTTTTTTATAAATACTTTTTTGTTTCCCTAAAAGTACTCTTACTTACAGATACATTTAGTCTAAAAATATGATAACACCCACCCAAGGTTGCTCAATACCCTGAGTCAACATACAAAAGGAGGAATGATATCAAATTCATGTCCTGGAGGCAACTACTGAAGCAGGAACTACCACAGAGCTGGTTTTGAGGACCTTGGCAGGTGTTTATATGCCTGTCTGTCTGTGGACAGATTTTGTCACCGATATAGCGTCATAACTGTGCAAGATACAGTCGCAAAACTTTACAGGTGTGTAGCTGACATCGAAATGAAGGTCGAGTTCAAAGATGGGTGTGGTCTGGCCCATGAGTACTGGGTACTTATCATGGGTTGGACATTGTGGCTAGTATGATCCCATTGCAAGATGGTTTCTAGTTATATATTACTTTACCCACCAGTACATGAAATAGTTCCAGTTAGCTCGCTTGACCAACTGCAGCAGTAAAATGTTGCTTACACATTAATGCATATACAGATGTCCAGTAGTGGAGTAAAAAGTACAATATGTCCCTCTGAATTGCAGTGGAGCAGAATTATAAAGCTGCATAAAATGGACATAATAATTAGTACAAATAATTGACCATGATCTTAGTGTTCTTAGTAGCTAAAGCCCTGCAACTAACACATAAATATACAATGGAAAAACATAATGTTAATGACAGAGATATCAACAGTACGCCTATTCAGAAACCTATTCAAATAAAGCCAAATAAAATACCACAACCTACTAAAACCCACCAGACCAAAACAAATGCACCTGTTATGTATGTGCCATAGCACATAGACAGGAGTCTTTAGCTCCCAACAGAAAAAAAAATACTTCTCACTCCTACACCACAGATCCTGGACCAGGACTCTTCTCTTTTCTGTGTTGCTTACTTTCTCGCAGCGAAGCCTTGAAACCAGTCAGGGAAGTTTCCATTGTTCAGGATGAGCCCTGCTTGCGTCTCAGTGAACCACCTCAGCACCAGCTCCTTTAGGCCTCCCTCTGCTGTCTCCATCTGCAGGTCAACACCTACGTTCTTCTCCATCCTCACACTCTTGTCAGGTGCCGTCAGAATAGTGGTAGCACTGTAGTACATACTCTCTGCTCGGTTGGCATTTAACTCTCAAAAGGAAGACGAGGTGCCTCATTTGACTACCTCTGCTGGGCGTCTCTCTTATCTGAATAGTGGTATTGTTTCAGTTTATCTACCAGTGACTCTTCTACATGTCATCGGGTTGCCAGCTTCATTTTACTATCTGTGTTCCTTGTCCCAGATTGAACTTTAATAGTTTGGTCACATTAGACACAGTAAATTTTTAATTTTATTTGCTTTTATTTTGGTTTGATGTACATTGTAGAGGAGCTGAGGTAGGAAGCAGGGACATGAATGTGTATGTCTGCGCTCAAGAGTGTATTTATGTTGTTGGGACAAAAATCTGATCACACTCTCATTATATAAGGACAAACAGTCCATCCCAACAAGGTAAACCATTCAAATTTAAGGTTAAGATGTGGGCAACAATTTAGATATCTGGAACCAGATTAATTTTGTAGGTAATTTGGTCATAAACCAAAGTATTGGACAAAGTAAAATTACAGGATTACCAAAGTTATTATGGTGCATCCTGAGGGGACCAAGACTGTCTGCACCAGATTCCATAGAAAGCCGTCCAATGTTTATCAAAAAATTTTGCTCAAGTGTCAACCTCAGGTTGGTGCTAGAGGAAAAGTCAGAGAAACACCAAAGACATTAGGATTCATCCTCTTAGAAACTTCAATATCTGAAACAGAATTCATGACAGTCCTTTGAGTAATTGTCAAGATATTTCACTCCAAACCAAAACTGCCATCCTTATGTTGGCACTAGAGGAAAAGTCAGAAAATCACCAGTTATTAGGAATCCTCCTCTTGGGACATGAATGTATGTGACAAAATTTCCTGGCAATCCATCCACTTGGCGGACCGACTGACAGACCAAGACTGTCACCACACCGCACAGTTCAAATGCCTTTTTGGCTGAAAGTGGCACCACATTAATATTGATAGTTTGGTTTTTTTGTTTTTTTTCAAAATTGAAGGGGTTCATTCTCTTGGGAGCATGAATGGTTCAGGAGTGGTGTTATAGAGGGAAAGCTGGGTGGGTCAACAAAACTATGATTTATCTCCTGTGTACCACTGATGTCCTTGGGTATCCATAAGATTTATGGATCCACTAGATGGGAAAATTAATGCAATATTTGGGGAAATTGTATTGGCTGTATACATGGATGTATTACTGAGCAAGCCTACTGGACCCAGATGAGAGCCTCTGTTTTATGTCTCTTGAGAGATAACGTTGCTTGATTGGAACTAAAATGTAAGGGGAGGAGTCACAGCTCAAATCTGAACAAGTTGGATAGTTTAGCAAAGTACTGAGAAAAGGGTAGTCAAGTTTTATTTGAAGGAAGGGGTGGGAGTGTAAAACAAACAATCAAAACAAAACTGATGGTCTTCATTCATCAGAATTTGTACTTTCCTTAATAAGCTATACTTTTTCAGGGAATGAAGCCTAAATACAGATAAATTGAATTTATCGAAATAAATTAAAAATAAATGTTTTGATTAATCAGCACTATTAAAATAATAAATACATTTAAAACTGTATTTTCACAATTGACAGCTGGAGCGCGCGACACCTCAGGCGCGAGCTGCACAGACGGTCGAGCAAGGGACAAGGCACGCCCACAGCAAGAGTGTCTTTAACGGCAACACGGTGAAGCCAAGTCAGTTATAATATTGCAAAGTAAATATTTGTTTACATATCTGCAAAGACACTCATCTGATTCAACACTTCTGAATGTATGGCACGAGTTGTAACGTTTCAGTTTTCAATTCGTCATCAAATGAATACACCTAATGATCGTATTTTCTAAAAATAAGGTGTCATACTTTGTTTCATATCAAGCTGAACAAATGAGAAACGAATACAGTTTATACTCTACACTACCGACTGTTGACATTAAACTGTGGGCATTGAGGGAACATTAGCCATAGCATTAGGTTACATTTTCAAAAATGTACAAATTTCACGAGGTTATAACCAATGCCACATTAAATTAATAGTTTTCTGAATGAAGTTATGTATGGCGCCCTCCCCCGTGCCAGAGAGCGGAATGTATTTGGACATTGTAGATCCCTCGTGGTCTGTACACAACACAGAGACCTAACAGGACAGGAGGAGGACATGGTGTCACCGTCAAAAGTTGTACCGAGTATTTTTACCACGGTAAGACGTTTATTCACGAATGATATTGTGTATTAACTATAGCCGGTGACTACTTCGGGTAGCGTTTACAGGAGCACAACCCCAGGCGACAGTTGTAAGGCAACAGCAATGACAGTTTCTTTACAGACTAGCTTCATTCACCTTCGTTGTCATGTCTCAGTGATGCTGTTAAAAAAGTTGTGAAAACTTTTTACAATTATTAAATAACTGGTGTGTTATTACAGGATAACAGAAAGGAAACCTAAGTATCATCCTAACTACAAACGTCAGCGCGGACTGCAGCCATGGACCCGTTCAAACAACAGAGAGTGGAGGATTTCTACGAAATCGGTGAAGAGTTGGGAAGGTACAGTAATGCATGTATCTCTATTCATTTACTTCTTATTGGTGAAGCAAGTGTATTAAAGTACACGGTATTGTATTTGTTTGAGGTTTAATTTGAATACTGGTTGGATGTTAAATGTAAATCAGAAAATCCAAATGAATGACAGTGTGAATGAGGACACTTTACCTTAAAACTGATAATGCATTGACGCATTGCAAAAACTTTTTTTTAATGTTGTATGTTTAAAGAAACTCATGAAGAATCTGGTCATGATTGATGGGAATCTATCTTGTATCTTTTAATCTTGTTTTGTTGAAGGACATACAGCATACATGGCTCATTGGAAAATAATTGGAAAGGCAGTTGTGCAGGAAATATTTACAACTTCATTGTGTCATTTCATAACATAACTGCCCTATTATCTCAGTGTTGGACAGTGTCATCTTTAATGTTGATATACAGGGGGCAACTGTGATCATCATAAAGAGACCCTCAATGTAGAGTTATTTGTAAAAACAGTTTTAAAAAGGCTTTTTCCTGTGGTAGAATATATAAAGTTATAAGATTAGAGGAGAGGTTGCATAGCTCAAGCAGTATTAACTAGCAGGTAGGTCACTGCATCAAGCATTTTTTACTGTGCTATGACAATATGGAATAGACACCGAATCATTAACTGCAGGCTACACATGCTCCCTGCATCTGTGAAATGTCTTTTTATTCTCCTTAATGGCTTTAAACAGTGTTAAAACAAAGCTTCTCCTCTGACTGATGATTTCTGGAACATGTGCAAAATATAAAGTAATGTTTCTATAAATCACTGATTGCACAGGAATAATTAACAGAAAAAATAAACTGGTGTGTGTTTTAGGCCTAGTTTTATTGCTTTGCGTTGCCAAGTGGAGACAACTGTTATGCCTGTCATGCTGCTTTTTAAAGGAGTCCTCTATCTTTAGCTGTGGCTATATCTGCCCTCAGGCTGGCTGCAGAGAAGGAAGTAGAGTGTTAGCTTACAAACCATTCAACCAGGTGGAAAAAAAAGATGCGGCTGTACGGTCATATAATGTTTGAACTTTAAATACTTAAATCCACCAAAGTGTTTGCTTGTATTGAGTAAGTGTGAGTATCTGTGAGCGTCAGGCTGATCATGTTTGCTGCAGAATATGTGCAACACTATAAATAGACAGAAGTGGTAGTGAAACTTTAATCACAAGCCAACCACTGCACCGCAGCACGAGTTGTTGTGGGGTGCACAATATTCAGTGAGCAATACAACCAAACAAATGATAAAATACTCTTGTATCTAAGTGTCATTTTCCAGAGTCAGTCAACAGACAAGCTTTCATTTTCCATCAAAATGAACCAATGGTGCAGCTGAGGCTTTTTTTAAGTTTAAAAATTCATGGAAGCGCCCCCCTCAGGCCAAGCTGTGTACTGTGTACCTTTTTTAGTTTTCTGTGTGAAGTTAGAAGTTGTATGTTGCTGTTGTGGGCTTAGAAGAAGATCAACTCAGAGGAAGAAAAATATACTGTCTTCTACACTGAGGCTTAAATACTCACCACTTGATCCAAAAGACATCCTGTTATTGGCTCGGCTAAATTCAGGTGAGCTGGAAATGTAGAACAATTAGAGCTTCAAATATGAATCAATAAACAGAAAATGAATGAACTATTGCAAATTTATACAAAATTAATTATGCAAATATGCCAAATTTTAAAGACGATATGTACTGAGTGGGATATTTTACATTTGAAAAATAGTTGTGAGTCTTCTCTGATGGTCTGATGGACAAACTATGTAATGGAGACACTGTTTTTAAATGACGTCAAACATATCTTTGGCATGTCTTGTTACTTACTGGCTGAAATACAAGCAGATACAATATACAGTATATCTCTGCAATGAGACAATATCAGCTGAGGTGATTTATCAGTCTAAATGTCTAAAAGTCTCTAAATGTAACTACCAGCAATTCATCTATACTACATCTTTATGTTTGTCAATAGTTCATAGAAAAGCACTTTAAGTCACTTTTTCTCAAGGATTTTTCTTTCTTCTGTGTGTTACAGTGGCCAGTTTGCCATCGTGAAGCAATGCAGAGAGAAAAGTACGGGTTTGCAATTCGCTGCCAAGTTCATCAAGAAGCGGCAGAGCATTGCCAGTTCTCGAGGAGTACGGCGAGAGGAGATAGAGCGGGAAGTGTACATCCTGCAGCAGATCCAGCACCCCAACATTGTCACGCTACACGACGTCTATGAGAACCGCACTGATGTGGTGCTCATCCTGGAGCTGTGAGTCACCAGAGGATCAGGTTATAGGTACCGGGTACTGCACAACAGAGTAGACACCATTGTGTAATGGGATCACAGCAGGCGCAACGCCTGTCAGCATGTTGATAGATAGATGAACCAGAAACTATAAGACAGTAACTATAACCTACGAGTTCTGGGTTCAGAGTAGTAAAGAGTTGCACAACACCGGGGGCCAGATGCAAAGGAGCGTAGATTCATGACTAAAACTATGTGTATGCACAAAACCAGAAATATGGGTACGCATTCTTTTTTTCAAAATTATAAATTTGTGCATACGCATGGTTCCGCTTTATGAATCTCACTCATTGACAAATTGGGCACATGTGCACAAGCCTCATTTCCACTCCCACAATTAGCCATAAATGGATGAAGACACTCCCTTAATTAATCAGTTTGCATAAAAAAACACTGTCTCTGCCACAAGTTAACAGGCACAGAAGAGAAAGCCGAGGAAGTAATGTAATTTCACCGACTGCGAAACTGAGGCTCTCACAAATGGGAGGCAAAAACGTGCATCAGTTTACTTTAGTACAACCACTCCAAATGTAAAGTCCTGTTTTACTCTGAGCCTCATTTATTGGGACGAAAGAGTCTTAATTAGGCGACCAGACAGGTGTCTAAAATTGTGATTAGTAAATATTAAAATAGTAATGAAACAGTTTACAGAATGCCTCACAATTAATAATAAGATATTGAACGAGACACTGAGCACACAAACACAATTATTTCCATTCATGAATTGTGAAATTGTTGTTGCTGTATAAACGGCAAAACTTGCACTAATAATGATGACTGAGCTCTGAAATTTGTTTCATTTTATGTTAAGTTACGTGTCTCTGCTTATTTTGTATTTTCACTTCACTGTAACTTGGTTTGCTCTGGAAAACCATGTGTACGCATGGTCAAAAGAATGTGTGAGGTTCTGTGTTTATAAATACCAATTTATGTGCGGGAAATTGCGTACGCATGGTTTTTGTGTGTACACATCATTTATGCATGTGACCCCAGGACCAGGAAACAGCAGCATGATTGATTTTATTATTTTACAAGTGCTTTTCCCCCCGTATCAGGTCAAAATGGCTTCACTGAAAAAGACCTACATGTGGGCATGGATTATCATTTTTCCACCATATGACCACACTTACATTAGGACACATTTTAATGCTGATTTGAATGTTGCAGTGTGACCCTGCACTGATGTAGTTGGATGATAAGTGTCTGTGCTCCAGGGTCTCTGGAGGGGAGCTGTTTGATTTCTTGGCGCAGAAGGAGTCTCTGAGCGAGGAGGAAGCCACTCAGTTCATCAAGCAAATCCTCGAGGGGGTAAACTACCTCCACGCCAGGAAAATCGCCCACTTTGATCTCAAGGTTTGTCCAGTCTAGATATGCAACGGTCTTTTGAACATTTTTACATTTCTGGGCCGTGAATGTCAGAGGGTCATGGTAAAATCACAGCGACCTCAATTTAACCGTGACATTTTTTTGAAAAGCTTGTTTCATGCTCAGAGTTTATTGCTCAGGATGATTCAGCATTGTTTGTAAAGCTTTTCCATAAAATGCTATAGAAGTTGTATTAGCAGAACATTATTGTATTTGAATATTAAACTATAAAGGAAATGGACCATTAGACATCACATTTTGTTTTTCTGCTTCTTAACTGCACATCAACTGTTTAAATGTAAAAGGGACCGTATATCAACAAACAACAAGGTCAAAGAAAAGCTGCAAATAATGGTCTAAAGACCTAAAACTTATCTGGAGGTCACATCAGTAAGTAACAAGCAGCTGATAGTTTCTGTTTTTATTCCCTTCTGAAAAAGAAAAACATGGTGTGTGTTCTGTTCATCTTTTACATCTGTGTTCATTGTTTACTGAATTTCAGATTAAATTACTTTCTCAACACAACAGAGGATGAAAACTAATGGGAGCTTTTGAGACAGTAAAGTCTCACTATAGCAGTTCTTGGGCTTTTGATCATATCAGATGATCCTCATTAGAAGATGGAGTTTGCCAGTTGTCAGTTATATCCCTTTGTTCTGAGGAACAGAATGTCTTCAGATGTCTTCTCATCCATGTTTGCTTAAAACCTGGATAACAGAAAAACTAGAATACTAATTGTTATTCTTCTCCTCTTTCTCAGGGAGCTTGTTAGTGTACACTGCAGAACAAAATGTTACTTTAACACAAAGTACACTAACACACAAAAAATATGCAAGGGAGATTTGTGCCACTAGGTGGAGCAATTAGCTGTGAGTGAGTTGTGTGCACAGTAACTCTGAAATGAGCAGCTGTTTCCTGCAGCTTGACAAACAGTTTTACACCTTATGAATGCTCTTGCTGTTTTGTTGTGTGTTTTTGAATGAAAGAATTTCACGAGGGAAATGTATAATAGTTAATGTCATGTATTTCTGTTTAGGAAGGTGGTTCTCAAACATATTCTCAGTAAAATTTCTTCTCTTGTCTGCAGCCTGAAAACATTATGCTCCTGGACAAGAATGTACCGCTTCCGAGAATCAAACTGATTGACTTTGGTCTGGCTCACAAGATTGAAGCTGGGGTTGAGTTCAAAAACATCTTTGGGACACCTGAGTTTGTTGGTAAGATGAGCTTTTTTTTTTTCAATCCACTGCTCAGTGACCTACACTGGCTCTCCATGGCCGCCCAAATCAAATTCAAGTCACTAGTTCTTACCTTCAGAGCGACTTCTGGATCTTTACCATCTACATGAACTCAATCATACGGCCTTATGCTCCTTCTCAGCCACTATGTTCCTCTAAGGAATGTCGTCTGGTATTGCCATCTCTGAACACAAGACAATCTCAGTCCATGCTGTTCTGGTCTGTGGTGGAACGAGCTACTGAATGTTATTAGAGCAGGGGCGTCCTTCTCTATCTTCAATAATCTGTTCAAGACTCCTCTCTTCAGAGCAACTGCAACACCCTCACATGTCTAACTAGCACTTACTATGCACTTTCGCTGCACCTCTTTACCTGATGTCCTAGCACTTATTGAATTGATGTAGTACTGAGTACTTACAACAAGATCTCCTACTGCTCTGAAGCTTTAGTGTTCTCTCCCTCACTTGAAAATGGCTCTGGATAAAAGCATCTGCCAAATAAGTAAATGTAAATGTTATTCCCCCTTTTGCTATTTAGCATAATAATCATGACTCTGTTTAACAACTTAATACTTCACTCATTCACAGTAGGGGCAATATGAGTATTCCATATAATCTTGAATAAACCAAATTTACAACAATAAGACGAAGAGCATGAGGTGTATTATTTTTTAAAAATCTTTAACAGTGATGCTTTTTGCCTGTTTTGCCTTTTAAGCACCGGAGATTGTCAACTATGAGCCACTGGGATTAGAAGCAGACATGTGGAGCATCGGGGTCATCACCTACATCCTGCAAGTGCAACACAAATAACATAATGTCACATACAGTAAAATATACATTGTACAGAAGCTTCCTTCAAACAGGATGATAAACTGGAGGATCTCTCTTTAATGTTTTGTTCCAGGCTGAGCGGTGCCTCACCTTTCCTGGGGGAGACCAAACAGGACACACTGGGCAACATTTCAGCCATAAACTATGAGTTTGATGAAGAGTTCTTCTGTCATACCAGCGAGCTGGCCAAGAAATTCATCAGCCAGTTGCTGGAGAAAGATAAGAAGTAAGAGCTCAATCATAAGAAAGCGGATGGGATTTTCCTCAGGGCAAACCTGTGTCAGTACACGACAGTTAACCCTGTGTTTTTCTTTTTTAATATCTTCCAGAATCATTCACCCCTCTGTCATTATGATAGTTAAGTAAAATTATTTGGGCTTTTTTTTCCTCTCACAGGAAAAGATTAACAATTCAAGATGCTCTCAATCACCCGTGGATCAAGGTAAAATGGAAACTTCCTTTAAATTTGTATTTTACTCACAGAGAGAGAGACACGTGGTATTGCAGCCTGAATTAGAAATACATTTTTTCATTAAAAATACACATAAAATATTTTTTGTAAAGATATGTATGTTTTGCGATTATTAAATACCAAATTATTTTTTATTGTTTCTATGAAATGCAAAGAAAGCACCTCTGAGTTAAAAGGTATAAGAGCAGATAAAATAAATAGAAATAAATAAAAAAATAAATAAAAATAGTCCCGGGCTCATCTCAACAGTCAAACCTGTGACATATTAAACAAAACGGTAAACTAACAACAACAGCAACATTATAAATATAATAACAACAGCCATAGTTATCTTCATCATCATCATATAAGATTTACAAAAAGAAAATGATGTCTATGTGTCTACCTTTTAACGGTCCCATGTAAACAATTCTTACTGGTTACTTATGAGGATGGTTTCATATAAACAAAACTACTATGGAAAATGGTTATTCAGTCCATTTACATTACCTTCCATGTTTGCTGCAGCAGTACCTTGCAGTGGAAAGGCTTTTCAGCAGCTAAGACTGGAAGACTGATAATGTGGAGGTGAAGCTGGTTCTAGTACCAGATTTATGTCAGAGAGATGATTTATGTTCTAAAATGATCCTGAGCACCTGCTCAAATCAACATCACAGAACCAGTTCTAGATGAGAACTGAAACAAACTAGACTGTGGAAGTATGTTAAGCTTAATAGAGCCTGAGAGTATCTGCATATGGTTTGTATACGTTTTGTTTTTTACTCTGAATCTTCATTTAAAATCTGAATTAAACTGCCAATACTTGCAAAGATAAGTATGTTCTTATGCAGTCATATGTACTGTATTCTTTACCTTGTTGACCTAAAACATCTTATTTTGTGATGAAAGATGAACTCAGGCTGAAATACCACAAAATGTATGACGTGTAGTTGTGGACAAACTAATGATAATTATCTTATAAATTATAATGTGTGTGTTTCACTTGATATTTGTTGTTATTACTAAACCCCTAATATGATGGTAGTGGCAGAGCCTAAAAGTTTGAGGGTTTCAGAGGGTTGAAGAAGACCCCCGTTCACTTTGAGGAGGTACAGAGACTGGTGTCCTGTTTAGTGTTTTTCTCCATAGTGTGGTGCCATAGGCAACAATGGTTATAATTACAGGTCATCTAATCAGGCAAATAATGAGCACTAATGACACGATTGCAGACTCTGTGGCTGAAAGTAATTAACACTTCCTCTTTAAACCCTTTAGTCCAATGAGCACAAGGAGGAAAATAAAGCCCAGGAGCCAAAGAAACGAGAGCGGCGCCAGCTGAAGACCAAGCGCCTGAGGGAGTACACTATCAAATCGCACTCGAGCATGCCACCCAACAACACCTATGTAAACTTTGAGCGCTTCGCCCAGGTGGTGGAGGACATTGACCAGATGGAGAGCTCGTTTGTTAGCCTGGCGGTAGCCCACGACTCTCTGCAGGAAGATATCGATGCCATGGTCTCTATATACAATGAAAAGGAGGCCTGGTACAAGGAGGAGAGTGAAGGAGTGCGCCATGACCTCTCACAAATCCGCTATGAGTTCCGTAAGGTGGAGGCCTTGAAGAGGAGCCTGCAGGATGACATGCAGGCCTTCAGCTGTGGTCTCAGTGCCATCAGCAGCCGCTACCAGGAGAGACAGAACCACTTTGACGCACTGCGCCTTGAGCTTAGCAATGAGCTGAAATGGGTGCAGGAGGTGATGGGCTCATTTCCCATGGATGGAGGTGGTGGAGGGTACCCCAACTGCAACTTCTCCACTGTCTTCAATAATGACGTGAATGAAGCCCTGAAAGAGCTGCTGAACCGTTCCTGTGGAGGAGAGCTGCTGTCTGGGATCAACTTGGACTTTACTGAAACTGGACAGCAAAGATAAATGCCTACTGCACAGTTCTTTAAAGGTCCCATATTGTATAAAGGTAGATGTCCATGTCTTTTTTGATTATAAAGCAGGTCTAGGTTCTATATTAATACTGTGAAAGTATCAAAGCGCTCAGTCCACAGAGAAATGCTCACAGTGTGTATTCAGACTATGAGCTTTAAAACCAGCCGTCAGGACTTCTGTAACTTTGTGATATCACAACAAAGCAGTCACCAAGCCCCACCCACCTGGACCCACCATCCAACCTTTCATGATTTGGTTTCTCTGAGTGCTTCTCTGAAATCTGCTATATTTTTATTCATTCACTCAGAAACACAGCCAGCCAATCAGAAGAGAGGCTCAGAGCCTCTTTTCTTTTGATTGGCTCACTGACATGTTACTAGAGCTCCAGAGAGAACGCTAAGAGAGGAGATGTAAAACTACACTGAGATGGTTTTGGGTTCTTTGAACCACAAATATATCTTCTTATGGATCAACATTTAATAAAACACAGGGAAAGTGTAAAATATGGGACTGTTAAAAAACATTCAATGTCACAGCAGTGACTAGTGAAGGTCCAGGAGGGAGGCCTGTGTCAGGCCCTAAAGGAGAATAAAATTTACACAAACAGAAAGAAGTAGAAGTATTAACTTACTTTTTGCAAACAAATTCTAATACATATTATGCTGAAAAAATTAATATGGACAAAAAACTGCATAATTTTTAGGGGTCTAAGTAGCAAATGCTGTTTATATAAGATTATGTCTCAGAATCGGCTCAGTGTATTCTGTCCAGGCATAAAGTTTGGTAATGTACCACATTTCAGGCAAAGGACAGCAACAAAGGATAATTAAACTGTCTATTTCTGCAGAGCGTTTATTATCATTTTGTACACTAATTATTGATCATAGTTAGTGCTGCAATATCTTTGGCTTTGCTTGATATTTATGTGACATTTCAGGCCTAAGTAACCTTTTCCTTGTATAAATGAGTAATGAGTATTTTCACAAAGCCAATAGCTTTTTAGAAAGGGTAGAAAATGATTAAAAGATTAGTGTTTGCTTGCTTCCACCCCATATATATATATATACACATACATTATATATATATATGTGTGTGTATGTACTGTATATGTGTCTGTATATGTCAAGAGAATATACAGTGTTTTACCACCCTATCACCTCCATTCTGCTTTCATTTTGTGGCTCTCATTCCCTCTTTTCTCCCTGCTCTAAGACTATAACCCACTTCATCCCTTGTGCATTGGCAGTCTTTTCTCACCTCCACATAATGACTCCGGACCACAGGACATCTTCCATTGGCTATCTCACACAATTAAAGCTGCCTGGCAGCTCTTGACAAACCACAGAGATAAACAGGGATTAGAGATGTTCTTTCTCCGTGGCTTATTACATCTTGCTGGATTACTGGTCATCGTTGTTTCTTTGTTTGCTTTCGACTGTAAGGGGTCTGTCATGAACCATTTCCCTACTAGAGTGCCTGTTAATGGCTTTTTAGCACCGTCTCATCTCTGGTACCTGTGAAGTTCTATTATCCCGAGGGAGCTGAAAGTCAGTGGAGACATCACTTTCTACAGGAACCCTCTGGGTATCAGAAGATCAGTTAAATAGATCAGTCTGCCTGTGAAAACAACACCCTGTCATAGCCCTCAAAGGATCACAACATGACTCACTCTCTGGTTTATTCATCTCAACCACTTTTGGACCAGGTGGCACATGGTACATGTTGTGATATGATCATCTAGGGAATCTAAATGATGATAAATTATGTTAAAAGCCACTCTATTTGTCATGATATTTGGTACTGTAAACACATCCATGTCCTCAGAATGGACTGTAATAACTTTGGTGATCCCTTAACTTCTCCTCTAGCACCATCTTGTGGTCAAAATTATAATTTGTCCTATACTTTGCTTTAGGACCAAACACCTGCAAAACGAATGACATTAGCATCAGGTTCAGGCTCCCTCTGCCAGGCACCCTCTAACCACTACAATTCAGTTGTTGCCCCTGCAGGAGAGAGACAACAATGCAGCTTGGGGGCATTCTGGTTGCCTGGTGGTTTAAGACACTGACTTCATGACATCTTTTGTTCAAGTCCATCAAGGGTCATCCTCATCAATCTCAAAGTGCAGGGTAGCCTGTACATGTAACTATGGTTTCAGAAAAAGAAAACAGCCAGGGAAACCTCTGCTCTTTGTCAGTCAAAAAACTAAAACTGAGTTGTAATATGGTAATCTGTGGTGTATGCTGTAAGTTCACTTAGTTTACAGTAAACACTAAAAACATCTTTCCAAAAAGATGAGATGAGATATTTTAAAGATGACATATTTTAAGTCAATTTGTAAATAAATTAATAATAATAATAATAATCATTTTTTCTTTCTTTTTTTAAACGTGCCTATATGCCTTTAAAATGTATCAAAACTCCTAATGAGAACCGTACATAGCCCTACATCTTAACATTTTCTTAATTCCGCAGACCACAGACACAAATAATGATTGTTCCTCAGTTTAGCATGTTGCGCACGTTCAGCGCACTGGGTGACAGCCCCTGCGGAGTTCCCCCACACTCAACACCGAGGTGGACACACACACTAAGCTGCTCTAAAGTCGGACACAAAATAGTCACAGTAGTTTTGTCTTCTTGTAATGACTTATCCGTGTTTCCCTTAGTTTGAACTTTTATGTAGAGAAACACAACGCATGTCTCTTGAGGAGTCAGTTGGTTGGACGGTGGGAGAGATGGAGCAGTTGTACCCAAACGCGTCGCGCAGCATCACTGCTCTCCAAACCTCGGCACGGACAATGTGGCTCACCGGTGTGGCCATCGCTTCAGTTTATGGTGTGATCAGCGTGCTGGGGCTGATCGGCAACATCACGCTGATCAAGACGTTTTGCTCCGCCAAATCCACCCGCAATGTGCCGAATCTCTTCATGTCGAGTCTTGCGCTCGGGGACGTTTTACTGCTGGTGACCTGCGCTCCGGTGGATGCCAGCCGCTACCTGTCAGAGGAGTGGCTGTTCGGCAGAGTGGGTTGTAAAGTCATCCCTTTCATTCAGCTCACCTCGGTTGGAGTGTCTGTGTTCACTCTCACAGCCCTCTCTGCTGACAGGTAGGCTACGATTTTTTTTAATTGTTAATCTTCTTGTTGAACTTATAATCAGGATAATTTTAAGAAAAGAGCTGTAAATTATCCAAATTATCCAAATATCATACTGTTTTTATTCTTATGCAAATAGGTTCAGGCCACGTGTACTAACCTGATCTTTTATCACAGAAAATGACAAGCAAATATTTAATGTGCATCGATCAGGAGAGAATTATGCACGACAGAGCTGACAAGGCTGTTGACGCGTGAGAGACCAGTAGGCACCAGTTTCTCCAGAATCAATCGTCAGTTATTTGCTGTTTCAAACCTTTGTTGTCAAATGACATTAAGCTGACTTTTGTCTGTCTAGATGATAAAAATAATCACTGTTACAGTATAATTACATATTTGTGGGCCCTTAAAGAATATGTCAACACGCTTTTATATACATACCACTGTAAGCATTCCTCTAAAACACCTCTAATCTCATCATGGACATGACAATAATTTCTTGTGGAAAAAATACTGTTTTGCTCAGTGGAGTGTGTCATGTCTGTATATGTTTCAGTTCTTCCTCATTATGTCCCATTTCTAGTCACTCTGGTTATTTTCTCTCAGCAGGAACCTTCCATTAACCTTGGTCACATAAGATCTTTCTACTGTTATAGTGAATATTCTTGTGAGTATAAAAAACAAGATGAAAAGAAAATCGAAAAGAAAACAGGATTTTGGTGAGTTTTAATTGACTTCATCCTTAATTGGGATCATGGCCATGCATGGATCAAGATTAATATAAAAAGCTTAAATCAGTAGTCTATTCTTGATCACCCCACACAGCATGATGTATGACAAAGTATCATGTGATAATGCATCATACTTTAATGGAAGATGTATTTTCACAGCATTGGCTTATTGGTTAATTCAGATAAGCCTCTCTCATTTTACCTCTAAAGAATATTATTACAATGTAAACATTTGAGAAATTGCACTGGCAAGCTATTTTTCCTGTGACAGTGCTTTAGAGGCAACATCTGCTGTACCTGTACTATGAGGTAAGTTAATTTGCAATTTACAGTTAATTTGCAATATGCTTAAAGTTGCAGCACATCCAGTACACTTGTCACAGATAGAAGGACATAGCTATAAGTGTGTAAGTGTATATATGTGCACAGCTATGATATACAAAACACATTTTTGCAAACTTGTGAATATGCTATAATCAAATTTGAAATACATTTGTAATTATAATTTGAGATACACTTATTCTTTGCTGAGAGTTACATAAAATAAGTTAGATAGATACCGTGCACATAATTTGTATGGAAGTATATTGATGACAAAAAATTTGAGAGAGAGCACAAAAATTCTGTTCAGTTCATCATTTAATGGTGCACAGACACAGATTTGAATAAGGGCAGAATCACATTTGACAGCACAATCCTCATGTGTGTGCTCGTTTCTGAGTCTGCTCTCTGTTTTCTCCAGCTGTTTTAGCAGCTTCTGAGCACTTGAGATCACTAGGTGTCCTGTTGCAGCTCGACTGACAAACTGCAGCAGGACACACCAACATCTGGACATCAGGGTTATGTCTTTTTCAAAGTGAAAGTCTGCGCAAGGAAAAAAGTCAGCATTTGAATATATTGCTGAGTGATTGGTGACCAAATACTGCTCTTTTTCTCCTACTGGTGGATAAAAAAAAACATCACTTGTCCCAGCATTTATTTTGAAATTAGAAGTAAGAGTGTAACAGGATGACCCTTCACTTCCAGGTCAACATCAACAGATGAGACCCTCTGCTCTCAATTTGAGTTTGCCCCCGGGGGCCTCAGACTTCCAGAAGTGAGAGAATGGTTCCCCATTACCCTTTAGGGTTATGTAACAGGTCTATTGATTATGTCATGTCCACCAGTTTATATTTGGGGACCAGTTTAAGTTTGGGGAAATCATGTTTTTTTCCATTTTGGCATGCCACAATGGTCTAAATACTACAATATCCATGAGTCTCAGTTGCCATTGTCATGGAGAAGAGGACATTGTGATGAATAAGAGCAGTAATTAATTCAAAATGCTTTTTCGTTGCAGTTGAAAACCCAACATGGAACTGTAGTTGCTGAATTCATTTCAAATTGATCCAGAATTTAAAAGTGAATTAAGCTGCAGACTGTGTTAACTGTTTTCTCAACAATGCAACCTGTAGCTTCCTCTCACTGTCACCAGCTGATGCGTCTTCCCAAAATGCACTTGAGTCGTTGTTATTTTCTACCTTGAATTTTATACAGAGACTTGTACCTGTGACTCTTTAATCAAAGAAGCAGATATTGTTCAATGCAGTTTTTTAAAATCTTTTGTATACTGTTGATTTAACTGGGAGAGGTTCAGATAATAGAAGAGCTCCAACTGTACTTAACACTGTCTATTCAGAAAATGAATGAGGCTTTTAGCTCCTCTTAAAAATCCCAGTTTCAGTGTGACTATATAGTCCAAAAATCAAGCCAAGGACCAAACCAAAGAAACAGGCAACACCGTCATGCTAGAGCTGTGAATTTAGATGCTAATCACATTTCCACACATTTTCGAATTTCGAATCTCCATTTTCGGAGAAGGGGGTAGATGAAATGTGCTACAGAGCTCACAGGTTTGACTTTATTCGACTGGATGAGCTTCTCTGTGTATTATCACTCAATAACTTTAATTGCATGCTGCAGCAACAGGAGGATGCTTTAAAGGTTGGAGAGAGTTGATCCATCACCGATGACATGGCAGCTGAAGAGGTGACTGTTGATGGGTTTTCACTAACATTTCAATAATTTTAGCTGTGTCTCTCAGTACTGCACAAACCTTTCCCTCTTGTTTAATTCTGTGTATTTGTCACAAGTGGACAGATTTGACAATAGTTTTGCTTTTTGCACCACATCGCCATTTCTCCCTATGAACACTCAAAATCTCTAACACCACTGTTATTATTGACACCTTACAATCTGTGTGTAAAACGGTGTGTGCCCTTTTCTGACTGCTCTGTTTCTATACAGCTGGTCTATTTTTAGATGTACTGGCATTGCTATTGGGGTCTTTGTTAGTTACATTCAACAACATGACAACATGCACATCATGTGCACCACACAACACTTAGCTGCCAGTTTACAGGTATACCTAGCTAAAACTAATGCAGTCTAGTACAACAGTCTTGGAATAAATGAAGGGTCAACTTAATGGTCATTTTGGTTTGTGGCACTGTTGAACTGTATTGGATAATACAGGTATTTCTAATATTATGTCCACCTCATTTACTGAAGAGTAGATTGAATTTAGACTTAGCTTTAGAAACGCCTGCCAGTATAATGCAATAGAGCTTCCAAGGTGTATAAGTATACCCGATAACTTAGAAACTGAGTTTATGTCCAGAGGGAGAGACGGGAAGCAAAGACAGTATGTGAGGTATAAGGATCAAAGTAAGCCAGTGATTAACAGGTACTCCTGACAGCTCTTAAAATTATCCTTGAATCATGTGTTTTTTATATAATTATAAACTATTGCCTTAAACACAAACAAGTGGAAAAAGTGGAGGACTCTGTTTAAACAGAAACAAGATGAAATTAAATAGACTGTAGGAGTGAAGGGGGCAAGGACAAAAGTACTTGACTGCCTTTTGTATAATCTGTCTATTCCTTTCACCAGAGTTAATCATATTAAAAGATTTTAATAGTCATAATTCCCTTCAACTATTCATAACAACACTAGGCTCATGTTATCTTCTAGATGAGGCTTTTTTTCTATTTCTATATTACTTCCTCAAGTTCAACAAGGGTAATGCTTTTACCACTAATACTCACGAGACACTGATAAGACATTATTAAACTATTTTTGTAGCCAGATTGTAAGGAAATGTGGTTGGTGTTTATTCTACCTGCTTTGTCCTTTCAGTCGTAATTGATTTTTGCTTTTAATTGATGCAGGATGACCCCTCCAATGGGCCTTTTGACCACATACCTTCTGGAAAAAGAGCTGCAGAACACCTGGGCCAAAATTCATTTATAAACAACTTATTAACATTTACAACTGCAGACATCATTTATAATTGCAGATGACTTTGGTATTTTGGCTGGTAGCTTATTATTGTGGCTTACATCTCTTTGACAGTCTGAATGTTGTTGGCAGAGATAATGAATCAGTCAATCTGGGCTTTTTCTTATCATTATTATTATTATTACTGATTTATGTCTTTTGTTCATAAAATCTAAACTCAAAGTGAAAAATCCGGGGCTCTTAATCAGTATCATAACTTACTAGCGCATAAGAACCTTATGAGTATTTATTAATGGTTTACCAATATTTATAACTGCATTATTACAAAATTGAACAACAGAAATTTTATTAAAACAGCACACTGAAGTTGAAGTTGAGTCTGTAACTACTGTTTAAGTTCACTCTCACTCCTCTCTTCAATGGCCGCAAACGACTCAAAATGAATGTAAATTGTCTGCTAGGATGTGTAAATAAGCAAGGTGTTTGCTAACAAGTTCACGACATGAACTAAACAGATAATAATATGTCAGTGTTTTGTTTTCAGCTTAATTATGCTGCGCCCAAGTGGCCAGTGTCAGCCGCCCCACCACTTTTCAATGGTATTCTTTTTACTTTTACTTTTAATTATCTATCTATCTATCTATCTATCTATCTATCTATCTATCTATCTATCTATCTATCTATCTATCTATCTATCTATCTATCTATCTATCTATCTATCTATCAGGTACAAGGCCATCGTGAAGCCCTTGGAAATCCAAACTTCAAGCACCACTACCAACATTGTCCTGAGGGCGGCGCTAATCTGGCTCTTCTCCCTGGTCCTGGCTATCCCCGAGGCCGTCTACTCTGACCTCCACACCTTCAACGTCACCTCCACTGATGAGAGCTTCATTACGTGCGCACCTTATCCCCATGCTGGGGAACTGCACCCAAAGATACACTCCATGGCCTCCTTCCTCATTTTCTACGTCATTCCCCTGCTGGTTATATCTGTGTACTACACCTTCATCGCCCGCAGCCTGATGAGGAGTGCTTCAAATCTGCCTGTGGAGGGGAACATGCACGCAAGACGTCAGGCCAGTGTTAAAGCTATCACTAGCAGGGCCGTAACCCCATTTGTGAAATACTGAGGTCATTTCATTTGATTTAGTCAGTTACTCATAGTTTTCTGAAATTTATTGAGTTACATTTAAAAGAAGCAACCAGACTAGTAGCTGGTTTAAATCCTTCTCTACACCACCAGGAGTAAAATTCTGGTGAGGAAATACTTATTTATACATATAGCCAACCATGTGTTTGTTGTCTTATAAAATTTAGCATGCAACCCTAAAATTTCCATAAATAGCAGCAATGACATAACCTCAGAATTTGCCATGACCCTGAATAGTAATAATAGTAATAGTAATAGGTTAATTTTGCAGAAATTCTTTGATTTTTCCTTTTTTATTAATTTTCCTTTTTTGATGTTTTAATTGACACTTTTATTCAATGGCATTGTTCTTTGGTTTTGAAGTTTTTTCACTACCCCACAGGTTGAATCAAGAAAGCGCTTGGCCAAGACAGTGCTGGTGTTTGTTGGTCTCTTTGCAGTATGCTGGCTCCCCAGTCACGTCATCTACTTATACCGCTCCTATCACTGCTCCCAGGTAGACTACATCAGTCTGTTGTATACACTTGGAGTCTAATGCAGGTTTACTGTCTTTGTCTATATTTGTTTATTTAAAAAATTTGTATTTGTATTTTTGTTGTCCGGGCTTATACTGGAGGTTGCTAGAAGTCATCTATACAACTTCACTTAGAGCTTTTCATTGTCTTCTACTGGCATTTATAATGCTCTCTAAAAAGTATAGAAAATAACATTTGTAACATAATATTTTAACCATGTACCTTAGTTAATTAATCAGTTGGTAGCTGTCTAAGTATTAATAATAAAGTTGGAAATGGATTGTGGAACAGGCTTCAATAGATTTTTCTGGTATATTTGGATTTAAAGTCCAATAAAACATGAGAAATGATCATAATAACTCATTGGGACATACTTAAAAATGCAATGGGAGGCGGTTCAGATTAAAATAATATTACTGCAAAAATTCAGATTCTGTTTGTCCATATTGCAATGATTTGTTGTTTCTCAACTCTCCACTCTCACTCTTTCCCCTGCCAGGTGGACACCTCACTGGTTCACTTTGTGTGCAGTGTAGTAGCTCGGATCCTGGCCTTCACCAACTCCTGCCTCAACCCCTTTGCCCTGTTCCTGTTGAGCAAGACCTTCAAAAAGCAGTTCAACCAGCAGCTGTGTTGCTGCTGTCGTATGATCCTCAGACACTCCTCACAGAGCCTGACACATTACAACACACGTGTGACCTCTGTCCGCAGCACACATTACTCCATGGCAAGTCTGAGCATTATCAATGGCAGACAGATCTATCAGGAAGATTGTGTGTAAGTTCATGTGTACTTTGTGTGTGTGTGTACTTTGTGTTTGTGTGTGTGTGTGTGTGTGTGTGCGTGCGTGTGTGCGTGCGTGCGTGTGTCAGTTCGCCAAATATTGATAATGATGTATCACTTTGAGAGAAAAAAAAAAGTTTAACTCATTCAATTCATTGCTCTTTTGGTGATGTATCTGTGTAGTAAACACTGAGTTTTATTTCAGCTGTTGTCATAGCACTTTGTAAAATATATTTAGTAATATTTTACTTTCTTTTCCAAGCCAATTGCTTTATTCTGCATACATTATCTAAAAAAGAAAAAATGCAGCATTTTTGCTTTTAAGTCAGTGGACTTGTTAACCACATTTGAACATATAATTATGCAAACAAAAAAATAGGATCAAAATGCTTTTACAAAACATTTTGATCATAAGACCCTTGCATAAGTCATATAATTATTATTAAATATTGCAATTTCATAGAGTCTGGGGGGATACAAATAAATCAGAATTACAGCAGCAGTATATCCTGACTAGATTAGTTAACTAGTATCGGTCAATCGAAATACGTTAAGTCCTGGAAATTACATTTACACTTATAACACTAATTTGTTTTCCATTCACATCTTAATGAGAAATGCACTGGTAACCTGTCTTCCAGCGAAGCAGGTATAACATCTTTTTACCACATGGAAGTAACAAGGAGGGGGTTGGGGTTGGTGATGCGCAACCACAACTCAAGACTTTGACACCATAGACAGGTTTTGTATCCTGAGTCCTGACGTGTAATTAGATTTAGGCAAAACAAGGCTAAGAGTCTACAGCCATGCTAATGGCTCTGTGAGGCTGTACTTAAACACAGCGCTTGGAGCTGAAAGCTACGGCTGGTGTGCTGACATGCTCACATGACAATGCTAGCATGTTGATGTCGAGCAGGTATAATTTTGATCACCTTAGTTTAGCGTATTTGCAAGCTAATATGTGCTGATTAACACTAAATACAAAGTACAGCTGAGGCTGATGGGAATGCTATTATATTTGCAGATATTTGGTCATAAACCAAAATATCAGTCAAACAGAAACTTTGACATAATTATGTTGCTAGATGGAAAGTGGAGGGGATCACCAAAGTGATAACAATTTATCCTGAGAATGAATGGTATGTACCAAATTTCCATCCGACAGTTGTTGAGACATTTCACTCAAAACCAAATTCCAGCCTTAATAGGATTTGGAGCTTGTAAAGTGATGTTCACAAATAATTAAATTAATAAATAAATAAAAGGTTTCTATTTGTAAATCAACCTGTAAAATGAATCTCCAAGAGAAATTCAAGTTTGTGTGTTTGTATAGAAAAGATTTGTATTTGTAAAAAAAAAACTGTGATTGAAATCTGTGAACAAATGATATCAGTGGTGACAAAGACACTGTGAACAAAGAAGTGTGTTTTGTAAACATCTGTGTACCCAAATTGTTTAAGTTACAAGTGTCAATTTTGACCCTGTTTTTGGACCTGAATATGATTAGACAATGAAAATCCAATTAGACAGCAGAGATTACAACTATAAAGTTGTTTAGAAGTGTTGGTGAATTTATGGAGATGGATGGAACTAAGTCACGATGATGCTAGTGCCCGCATTGTTTTGACATGGGACCTGTAGTTTTTGTGCTCACATAGTAATTGTCAACATTTCAATGTTTTGCATTTTTTTTTATAACAAGTGATGTAGTGAAGTTGATTTGTCTGACAATGTGGAAAGTAAACCCCAGGAACAAGCTTCATTTTTTTCAGAAAGATTGATGAAAGAAATGCTCACTGATAGATAATCTTGACAGAAGCTATAGTCTATAGCCCTGACATCAAGTCATGTCATGACTTCATCTCTCTATAGACTGAGTACCTGGTAAACATTATGTCTTTCAAACTCCACACCTCCAGATTGTATAGCAGGGTTGTTATAAATGAGAAGCCAACACTCTCAAGCTCAGGTTACTCTGAGGATACCATCAGCTTTAGATACAGAAGTCATTATTCAACTGTTGTTTCCTCCTTACAACTAAACTGAACATTGATGAAGTGGCCCTTTAAGGGTTTCATTCAAACTCACAAATTTCACCATAGGTACAGAGATGAGAGATGGCAATTGCACTTTGCTTCTGTGAACAACAATCGTCTCTACTGAAAATACATGTGCAATATTTTGCTATGGCAAAGTAGAAACCAGTATCAGTCTTCAGAAAAGGCAGATCAAGGTGGACCACCCCAGTACCTCCAAGACAATGGAGATAACTTTCTGTAAATCACCAACACTGGCACTTTTTTTTAAATGATTTTAGAACCAAATTAAACAAGATCATATGCTTTTGCTATGATGCTGCCAAAAGATGAAAGTTCAATCAATGTGCTCTAAAATGTGATATATATATTTTTTATATTGTTGGATATTGTACTGAATATTGATGTATAATACTCTGGCTTCACTGTGTTTCTGTATGTGTATAATATTTCTAAATGTCAGATGCTGTGAAAACTGTGAAACTTCAAGCGTACCTTCAGAGCAGTACTGTAAATGTTAGTTGTCTTCTGGTTAAATATTGTTTTTTGAGCTGTGTCTCAGTTGTACATGGTGTGAAAAATAAACAGTGGGTGTAAATGCTTGTGTTTGTAATTTTGTATTGGAATGTGCAATGTGTGCTCATATTTTTGTGGTTGTGTTAATTTAATTCACCATTTCTCAAGGAATTAAAATTGACAGAGGGTTAAGACTGTTGGTGTTTCATGCATTCCCCCCACCAGTTGAAGAAAAATCTTATAAAATCAATAAAACTTAGTGTGCATTGAATCACTCTCAACATTATATTGCATAGTGAAAGTGGATCATCTACTTTCACCTCATGTGCGCCTAGCTGTTTACTTAAGTTATGTTTAGGGTCTTAATCCTGTTGACTGTGTATACACCACATAGTTTCTGCGCCACTGGTTTCACTAGACATGATTATTCTACACTGTCACATGCTAGATTTACAGTCGCCATATCACACCAAGATGTCCTTATTTGGTGTTTCACAGAGGGAGAGGATCATGCCCAGGATGCAGGGAGTGGGTGTATAATTCAGTCTGGATAGTGTTTGTTTAATTGTGGTGTGAGTGCCTTGTCAAATTTCTGTCCTGCATGGTCTCAACCTTCTACTTAACATGTCATCTTTATAGTCAGGCGCATACTGTGGAAAGCCTGGAATGTAAATAAGGATTAGTTATTATCTTTTTAGTTTAAAGTATGATAGAAACACAAATTAAGACTAATAAAAGGCACATATAGTTTCAAATAGCTTTCAAAAAGTTCTACAGGAATCCTGCAGAAAAGTGTTAAAGGTCACATCAAAGCTTTGCAGTCTCCTCTAGTAAGAAATGAACATAAATCCTGCAAGAAGATCAATCCTTTTATGACTTACAATATTCTGACGTATTATGGATTAGTTTACTCTGACATTGTTTTATGTTTTTATGCCTTACTATACTATGACGTTTTTGTGACCTTTTTCTGACTTATTATACTAAGACGTGTTACACCCTACTATACTATGATGTTTTTCTGACATTTTTCTGACTTATTATACTGTGACCTTTTTTGATGTTTTTATGCCTTATTATACTATGACATTTTACACGCTACTATACTTTGACGTATTTTGACATTTTTATGACTTATTATGCTATGACGTTTTTTCATCTTTTTATGCCTTATTATACTATCACGTTTTACACCATACTATACTATGACGTTTTTTTGACATTTTTATGCCTTACTATACTTTGACGTTTTTTTGACATTTTTATGCCCTACTATACTATGACGTTTTTTGACGTTTTTCTGGCTTATTATACTATGACATTTTACACTCTACTATACTATGACGTTTTTTGACATTTTTATGCGTTACTATCCTTCGATGTTTTTTGACATTTTTATGCCTTACTATACTATGACGTTTTTTTGACCTTTTTTCTGACTTATTATACTATGATGTTTTACACCCTACTATACTATGACGTTTATTGACATTTTTATGCCTTATTATACTATGACTTTTTTGACATTATTATGCCTTACTATACTATTACGTTTTTTTGACATTTTTATGACTTATTATATTATGACATTTTTTAACCTTTTTATGCCTTATTAAACTATGACGTTTTACACCCTACTATACTATGACATTTTTTGACATTTTTATGCTTTATTATACTTTGACGTTTTTTGACATTTTTATGCCATACTATACTATGACGTTTTTTTTGACATTTTTATGACTAATTATTCTATGACGTTTTTTTTGACATTTTTATGCCTTATTATATTATGACATTTTGCACCCTACTATACTATGACGTTTTTTGACATTTTTATGCTTTATTATAGTTTGACGTTTTTTGACATTTTTATGCCATACTATACTATGACGTTTTTTTTGACATTTTTATGACTAATTATTCTATGACGTTTTTTTGACATTTTTATGCCTTATTATATTATGACGTTTTGCACCCTACTATACCATGACGTTTTTTGGACATTTTTATGCTTTACTATACTTTGACGTTATTTGACATTTTTATGCCATACTATACTATGACGTTTTTTTGACATTTTTATGACTTATTATATTATGACATTTTTTGACCTTTTTATGCCTTATTATACTATGACATTTTACACCCTACTATACTATGACATTTTTTGACATTTTTATGCTTTATTATACTTTGACGTTTTTTGACATTTTTATGCCATACTATACTATGACGTTTTTTTGACATTTTTATGACTAATTATTCTATGACGCTTTTTTGACATTTTTATGACTATTATATTATGACGTTTTGCACCCTACTATACCATGACGTTTTTTGACATTTTTATGCTTTCCTACACTTTGACGTTATTTGACATTTTTATGCCATACTATACTATGACGTTTTTTTGACATTTTTATGACTTATTATATTATGACAT